GGGGGAAAAAAACTCACAAAGATCAATGGAGCAGAATACAAGGCCCAGAAATAGAGCCATCACCGCACATGGCCAATTGATTTTTGACAAAGATACAAAGGTGATTCAGAAATACAGGCTTGTCTCTTCAACACACGGTGCTGGGACAACCAAATGCAGTACAGTAAGACTCCACCCATACCTCACACCTTATAAAAAATTAACTCAAAATGCATTACAAGCCTACATGTAAAACGTAAAACTATAAAACTTTTAGAAGAAAATATCCATGACCTCAGATGAGTAAAGTTCTCTTAGATACATCAATAAAAGTGTGATCCATAATAGAAAAAAAAAGATAAATTTGACTACATCAAACTTCTTTAAAATTGCTTTGCAAAAGATATTGCTAAGAGAATGAAAGACAGACCACAGACTAGGAGAAAATATTTACAAATCACAGAGCTGATAAAGCATTTAAATTCAGAATATATAAAGAACCCTCAGACTTCAATAATAGGCATATGAACAACCCAACAAAAACTAAGCAAAGTGTTTGAACAGACATTTCACCAGTGAAGATAAATGAGCTTTTGAAAACACACTCCATATTATGCATTGGGAAACACACTTTAACAATTAAAACCACAATGAGATACCACTCCACATGTATGAGAAGTGCTAATTTTTTCTTAGAGTTATGCTACCTGTGCTGGCAAGGATGAGAAAGAACCAGAATTCTCCCATATTGCTGGTGAGAAGGTAGGGGAAATGGTTTGGCCGACTCTTACCAAGGTTAACACGTACTTTGCACAGGACCCACCAGCTCTAGTCCTGGGTTTTTACCCAAAAGGGAGATGAACCCAAACGCCCCTCAAATGGAGACTGTGTCAGCAGAATCCATCGGATCCACCCACTGGGTGAAATACTACTCAGCAGAATAAAAGAATGAACCACTTACTCACAGGCAGCCCAGCTGAATCGCACAGGATTATACGCAGAGCCAAAGAAGCCGGATGGAAACCACCTCCTGTGTGACCCCATTCAACCATTCAAATGACCTTCTGGAGAAGAAGGAACCAGGGCTGGAGAGCAGATTGTGGACACCACGGGCCGTGGGTCGGGGGAGGCTTCAGCTACAAAGAGAGTTGGGAGGGGTGGTCACGGCTCTGCCCTGCACCGGGACTGTGGCGGTGGTCTCAGGACTCCAGCGTTCGTCAAGACCCTGTAAACTGCACGCATGCTCAAGCAAGCTGCCCTTCCAGAGGGAGGCGGGGCCACAATCCTCACCTCTCTGGCTCTCTCCGCTGGTCCCGATTCTGACTCCCTGTGGCTAAGCCCATGCTCAGGTGTCCCCCACTCACCCCCTGCCCTGGCATTTTATATGCAGACGCTGGAGAGAGAGGTGGGGGAGGGTCTCTTTTTACTGTGGATTTGAGCTGTGAGGGTGGCCAGGGGCCACCTCCTCTGCCTCTCAGAAGTGTCCAAGAGAAGGTGGCCCAAGTATATCAAAGACGAGGAGCCCTGGGTTCAGTCTGGGGACGGGGGGCCTGCCCCCTCCTGCTCCCTTGCAGTCTGGAACAAACTGAGGCTCCAGTCAGGCTGGACTCAGCGCCCTGGCCCCCAGTCCTGGCTCAGCTCCCCCGGGGCTACTTGTCAACCCCAGGTCTGGGGCTCTCACGCCAGGCAGCACCCCCAGGCTCGCGGTCTCTTTGGAACCCCGCCACACTCCCTGAGCAGGCGGGAACCCAGGCAGAGGGAAGCCACGGGAGAGGAGGCAGGAGGACTCCCCCAAACCAGGGCCAGAGGGCCCCCAGCTCACCCCCAGGTATGAGGCCAGGTCCAGCGTGCAGAGAGGCCCAGCCTCACCCTGTTCTTGGCAATAGCTGGGGCCCCCCCCCAGCTCCAACCCAGCTGGTCCTCCCCCACAGCCCCCCACAGACCCCCCACTCCCCCCCACCCAGCCCATTAACTGGGCCACATCTGCCGGCCGAGACCACAGCTCGCCCTAGAGCCCGCCACCCTGCCTTCCGGGGCTTGAGTGGGTCCAGGCTCTGCCTCTCACCGCCAAATGGCTCCGCTCCCGCGATGCGCCAGCCCCACAGAGGCTCTCCAGGCCCGGCTCCTGGCGGCCTGCTCCCCTCTGGACCAGCCTCCCTCCCCCCGGCCCCCGCCGGAGCCCAGCCCAGCTCCTTGCCAAGTCTGTCCGGAAGCCCTGGCCACCCTGTGTGGACAGAGATCGTGCATGCATCATCCCACAGCCATCGGATGCTGGGAACTGCACTCAGGCTGGGAGAACCCGCTTTCCTCCACCCCAGCCCCGTCACCCAGGGGAACCCCTGCCCGCCCATGCGCCCCCACAGCAGGTCCTGCGACAGGGTGGGAGTGCGGATGAGAAGGCAGGCACAAAGAGGCGGCCACCGGCTCGCTTAGACCCCAGGATGCGGTCTGTGCTGGGATCCACGTGACAAACTCTAAGGAAGAGGGTCCTTCTAGGAGCAGAGCCGGGCCTGCACGCCAGGTGGTAGCTGAGTGTCAGAGCGACCTGCCCTCCGGCTGTCCTTCACCAGGCAGGGGACGGGGAGCTCGTGCTGGCTGAGGCCGGCGGGGTCCCCGCGGCAAGGAGGGCTGCTCGGACGTTCTGTCTCACGCTGAGCTCCGTCCACCCCCCTCGCCCGCCGTGTTCCTCACCAGGCTTGGTTCTTGCTGGCACCTGAAGACGGTTTTCCAGCATCTCGCCCCGCAGGCGGGGGAGGGACTGCTAGGGCAGTGGTGGAGCCGGCCTGCCCAGGGCCCTTCCCCTGGGCCAGCTGGTGATGTGGCCTCCCGCGGAGGGGCATTGGCGCGGCTGGGGGTGCGGGGTGGGCACACTGTGCCCGGACTCTGGGCTGCCTTGGTCGGGGTCGGGACCACGTGGAGGCCGGCCTGCCCCATGGACCGGGCCTGCACAGAGCCGGCTGCCCCAGGCACCTACTCAGCAAGTGATCGCTGAGCGCCCCGTGGGTGTCAACTCCACCCCAGGCTCTGAGACACAAGGCGGTGGAGGCCCTATCCTCATGGAACGTTCTAGAGGGGACCCAGAAAGCAAACAGCAGGAACCCACGACGGTTAGAGAGGGGCTGCCCAAGCTGTGCAGAGGGCACACCAAGCTCTGTGTGTGTCGGGGGGTCACCTGTAAGGAAGGGGGTCACCAGTAGATGGGGTGAGATACCGGCCTCCCTTGCCTTCTGCCACAGTGGGGGTCCCAGGGGAGGCAGAGCCCTGGCCCAAGCCCTCCAGCCTCCAGCAGCCTGGACGGGGCTCCTGGGAAGGCGCCTGGAGGGAGGGCTCAGAGCTTGAACCCTGTGGGCCCCGGGGATGGGGGCCACCACGATGCTGGCCAAAAACCCAGACACCAGCTCTCGGGTTCAGAGACTGCTTCGCTCCCACCGTTGGCCCCAGCCGCCCAGAGCATCCGTCGTCCTGAAGACAAGGGGCCGGGACCTGCACGAGCAAGGCTTGTTCCAGTGGTCGGCGTGGGAGCCCAGAGCATAGCCGTCAGGGCTGGGGTGCAGGGTGTCGGAGTTCCTGGGGGCCCTGCACTCACCCTTCAAACTGCAGGAGCGTCCAAGCCTCCAGGCATTCACCGCACTGCGTCATCTCTGATTCCGGGCTTCATCGTTGGTTTTGAGACGAGTGATGTGGGAAACTCCACCCAGAATGCACGGGCATGATCACAAGGTGTGTGAACATCACCTGTGTCTACGGAACCAAACCAGAGAAAAGGCTGCGGGCCTCTTTAACAGAGCGCCGAAGGCTGTGAACAGTCAACGGCTGTGAGACTTACTTTAAAACGTTCACCCTTGTTTGGTGAACCAAGTTTTTCATCAGCAATGACCCTCAAGAATTTGAAAATAGGATTATTTGTTTATGCATTTAAACTTTTTGTTTTATACCAAAGCATAGCCCATTAACATTGTTGGGACAGTTTCAGGTAGACTCAGCAAAGAGACTCAGCCATACACACCCGTGTGGCCATTCTCCTTCCAAAACAGGGAGGTCTCGGTTAGAAGTACAATAGTTAGAAGTCTTGGTCAGGAGTTCCTCTTGGCCATTTTACGCATTAAACAGTGTGAAGTGAAGTGAAGCCACTCAGTCGTGTCCGACTCTTTGTGACCCCATGGACGGTAGCCCACCAGGCTCCTCGGTTCATGGAAATTTCCAGGCAAGAATGTGGGAGTGGGTTGCCATTTCCTTCTCCAGGGGATCTTCCCAACAAAGGGATGGAACCCGGGTTTCCTGCATTGCAGGCAGATGCTTTACCATCTGAGCCACCGGGGAAGTGATATAAACAATGTAGAAACGCTCAGATTTTTTCTCTGCGTTACATGCTCTAGTTTCTCCTACCATTTAAGAAGAGTTACTTGGAAGTTTTACAGAAATTCTTCATGTTAGATTGTTTATTTTCTTATCATAATGATATAAAACAAAACAAGCTTTTTTTTTTTTTCTAAAAGCCCTATGCCAACTTGGCTTTACTTGGAGTGTCATTCTAATAGGACCATGTTCTTGTGTGGGTATGAAACGGGAAGCAGTCTGCCTCTTAAGGTTCTGGGTGGAAAGTTCCAGGCGGCGGTGGGCGTGGGGGAAGGGCCCCGTCTCTGGGTGTGAAAGAGAGCAGTCAGGGGGCCGGGGGCCTGGAGCAGAGGGGACAAGGGGGAGGTGTGGGCCTGACCCTGAGATCACGGAGCAGCTGGGTCTCCTGCCACCCTGCAGCCCCTCCATGCGGCGATTCCGGGCCGCCCCCGGGGGAGCGAGGCCTGGGCGTTTTAGCAGACTTGTTGCTGGTACCGCAGGGCTCCCCCTGGGACCACGTGACACTTTAGCAAGGGAAGCGGTGTCCCCAAGGAGCAATTAGACACTTCTGAGCACTTTGGAGAGGTGACCCGGCCCCAGACGAGCTGCATCCCGGGGCTGGAGTGGGGGGACCTGGGCCCTGGGGTGCGGAGCAGGGCGGGGGGCAGGGAAACTCCCAGCACTCATTAACGCAGGGCGCGCCAGGGTAATGCGCTCTCAAGGCAGCGGGATTGATCGCCCTGCGGGGCATCCGCGTCTCTAAATTCCAGGCCGAAGGGCTCAAGCCGCTGGGCCTGGGGCCCCTCGGACCTCGGAGAAGGCGGCAGGCGCCCACCCCGGAAGCCCTCCGACTCAGGCCCACGCCTTGAAGGGCCCAGAGCACAGGGAGGCAGGTCTTCAGGGAGAGACCCCAGACTGGAACTCTCAGCCGTTTGCCACAGTGGCCATTCGGCCCCTAAGGTCCCTCGGGTCACTCGGAAGAGAGGACGGAGCGGCCCAACAAGCCAGGAGCGGGCCACCCTGCCCCCGGGCCGGGGGTACACGTGAAGGTGGGCAGGACCCTCCCGTCGAGCTCTCTGTGGCCCCCGGGGGCTGCTCACGGCAGGGCTCACTTGACCAAGAGGAGGAGGGGAGAGCGTGGCTGTGCCCGGGGCCGGGCCCGGCGGGCACACAGGGGCCGGCCACGTGTCCGCTCCCTCCTCGGCCTGTTCATTCATTCACTCCGTCCTTCAGCACGACGTGCCCCGGGCGCTGGCGTGATGCTGGACGTGGTGGTGGTCCCTGCCCGGGTGGGGCTCCCAGCCCCCCGGAGAGGGCAGAGTTAAGGCCTCGGGACCTCCTGTGGACACACAGCCCAGGTGGACCCAGTGGGGTCAAGGCCAGACCCGGCCCGCATCTCAGCATCCTCCCTGCTCCCTCGAGGCCCTGGGGTGCCGCCCCATCTCTCCCCAGGCCTCTCTGGCTGCTTCTCCTCTGTCCCTACTCTGGCCACGCGGGGCTCCTAGCACGTGCTGTTCCATCTGCCAGCCATGCTTTTCCCTCCCCGTCTCCCCACTACCCAGCACCCCCCAGATCAGCTCAGACAGCCCTCCGCCAAGGGGTCTCCTGACTCCCGCTCAGAGTCGCCCTCACTCTAAACACCCACACCGTCTTTAGGGCCTGAGGCGGAGGGTTTTACTGGCAGGAAGGGCATCCCCATTTCACAGGGGTTTTGATTACCATGAAACTGATTAAAGTTAACATGAAGTTGCACTTTCAAAAAGCTGATTTTCGTAAGCCTTTAAGCTCACCAAATCTCACTGTGTGGCTTTAAAGCTGGTCACTGTGGAATCAGAAGATTTCTTTCATGTGTTCTTTACTTAGCATTGGAGTCACTCAGAATGAACACGTACGCGCTTGCTAAGTCGCTTCAGTTGTGTCTGACTCTTTGCGACCCCATGGACTGTAGCCCGCCCGGTTCCTCTGTCCATGGGGTTCTCCAGGCAAGAATACTGGAGTGGGTTGCCATTCCCTTCTCCAGGGGATCTTTCTGACCCAGGGAGTATGTGATTACATTGTATATGTTTCATGCATGGTGGTCTTCTGTATCTTGCATTAGTTCAGTTCAGTTCAGTTCAGTCACTCAGTCGTGTCTGACTCTTTGCGACCCCATGAACCACAACACGCCAGGCCTCCCTGTCCATCCCTAACTCCCAGAGTCCACCCAAACTCATGTCCATCGAGTCAGTGATGCCATCCAGCCATCTCATCCTCTGTCGTCCCCTTCTCCTCCTGCCCCCAAATCCCTCCCAGCATCAGGGTCTTTTCCAATGAGTCAACTCTTCGCATGAGGTGGCCAAAGTATTGGAGTTTCAGCTTCAGCGTCAGTCCTTCCAATGAACACCCAGGACTGATCTCCTTTAGGATGGACTGGTTGGATCTTCTTGCCATAATCACAGAAAACTAGCCAATCTGATCATAGAACCACATCCTTGTCTAACTCAGTGAAACTAAGCAATGCCGTGTGGGGCCACTCAAGACGGATGGGCCATGGTGGAGAGGTCTGACAGAATGTGGTCCCCTGGAGAAGGGAATGGGAAACCACTTCTATATTCTTGCCCTGAGAACCCCATGAACAGTATCTTGCATTAAGAATATGCTAATTAATTATTATTGAATAGGGGTGATGGACAGGGAACCCTGGTGTGCTGCGGTCCACGGGGTCACAAAGAGATGGACACGACTGAGCGACTCAACTGAACTGAGAACAGGGGATCTGGGAATTCCCTGGCGGTCCAGTGGTTAGGACTTGGCGCTTTCACTGACAAGGATGCAGGTTCAGTCCCCGGTCGGGGAACTAAGATCCCACAAGCTGCTTGGCACAGCATAAATAAATAAATAAATGGAATAATTTTTTTTTTTTTTAATAAGAGATCTGACAGCCCTTCACGCCCTAAAATGAAGAGGCTGCAGTGGTGAAATTTTCAGGTACCCTCCAGACCAGGACGCAGGACTCGGCAGGGGGTGGAGAGAGCGGGGAGGGCGATGCTCCCTGGGCCTGTCACTTGTCAAGGTGAAATGCCCCCCACTCCCAGCTCCTGTGCCCGAAACCGAAGCATTGTTGCCACTCCAGCCCCGCCCCGCCCCCTCCCAGCCTCACGTTCTGAAGCCTGGCCAGGCCAGTCCTTATCTCCCCACTGTCCAGGCCTCTCCTCAAGGGCAGAGGTGCTGAGGGTGGGCCTGGAACGTCTGACATTCACGAGGCTGCTCTGGCCGAGGTGTGAGCTGCAACCTAGAGCAGAGGATGCCGGGATCCCTTCAGAAGCTCACCAATCAGAGTCAGTCAGGGTGGTCTGGATCAGCAGAGTCAGGACTGAAGTTCAGAGTGAGGACTTCAAGTCTCATTTGTCCTAGACTTCTGGGCAGGCTATCAGGATGCAGAAATAGTTTTCCCATGGCGAAGGTGATAGTGTTTTCCCCTTCTCCACCCCTTTTTGTGGTTTTCTTCCCCCGCCTTCATCTTTAAGACTTAATTAGGCAGTTTCTTCTGAAAGAAGAGTCGAGGTCATACGCTGGAGAGGGGGCTCTGGCTCCCAGCACCCTCCAGACAGAAGGGGTTCGGAAGGAGGGGAGCACGGTGCCAAGGTCATGGATTCCGGGGCCCAAGCGCCGGGCGGCCGGCCCAGATCAGCCACAAGATCTGCGTGACTCTGGGCATAGTACTTAGTCTCTCTGGGCCTCGGTTTCCTCACCTGCAAAGTGAAGACAAAGCCTCAGGGCTGCCTTGAGGTCAGGTGAGCCACGCACATGGAGGCGGCACGTGAGGGTCAACGGTGGCTTTGTCCTGCTGTGTCTGGATGTGTCGGACAGACTGATGCCAAATAAGGTGGGAAGGACAAGCAATGACCGGCGGATGGTGCCAGCCCCTCCCTTCCAGATGGGGAAATGAGGGGAGAAGACCTGCAGAGTCATCTGCAAGATGAGGGCTGAAGGGAGAGCCAGCCAGAGGTGCCCACCCTCCGGGTCTCTCCCCTTCACGCCTTGGGCCTCCCTCCGTCATCTCACCTGCCAAATGGGCACGATGATAACCGGGCGATGTCTGTGAAGCGTGAGCTCTTCTCTTCTTCCTGCAGAAATGTGCTGAACGTCCTGCTTCGGTCTGTGCTGGATGCGCGAGAGCAAGAAGCGAAGGGGCCCCTGTCCTTGGATTCACTATCTGACGGGGGAGCCAGGCAGGTAGCCAGCCGAGAAGTCCCGTACCATCAGCTCCAGGAGGCAGAGGGGCGGGGCCCTGACACGGAGGCAGGGCCTTGTGAGCTGTTGTCAGCTTCCCGTAGAAGCAAGGGCTGACCCACGAAGCCTTTCTGACATTCAGTCCAGAGTATTCTGCCTCGGGACGGTTGAGCAGAGGGAGTCAGGGAAGCCATGTGGCAGGGATCTTTCCGGTTTGAGTTCTGACTTCTCTATGTCTTCCCAGCTGTGAGCCAGGGACCTAGCTCCTTTCTTCCTCGGTTTCCTCACCTGTCCAGTGGCTGGTAACAACATATCCACTTCGTGGCATTGCTGAAAGGCTTGAATGAAACAATAACAGTCATAGTAGCTGATATCAGGCAGGGTGGTGACAGCGGACAGTACTAGACACGGCAGGCGAGCTGGCCGGGCTTTCAGGAGAAGCCCCTCCCTCACCGGTGTCTGGAACACAGCAGGCTCTGAGCAGAAGTCTATGACTCTGTAAGAGTGTTTGTCATGGCTGTGGGAGTCTGGGGAGCCAGAAGGAATCAATGCACTAATAGCTCTGACAGGTAGTGAGCTCCTTGTCAGGGAGGCATCCAAGGGGTCCACATATGGTCATGACAGCAACTGCACAGAATGTGGACTGGATGGCCTCCAGGGCCCTTTCTCACCCCAGGAGTCCGTGAGCCCACAAACCTGAGGTCTGGGGACTCTCAGATACAAGACAGCCAATCCTACCAACATGAATTAAATGCTGTGTGCAACCGTCCCCCTGGGGAAAGTGGTGACTAATAAGGCGCTTCCTTGACAAGCTCAGACACGAAGAGAAGGTGGGCAAGTGCTGGGAGGGAGAGAGCGAGCTTCCTCGTCTCCAGGTCTCAGCTGATAATTCCAAGTCTCTAAAGCAGAGACATTACTTTGTCCACAAAGGTCCGCCTAGTCAAGGCTGTGGCTTTTCCAGGAGTCATGTATGCATGTGAGAGTTGGACTATAAAGAAAGCTGAGCGCCAAAGAACTGATGCTTTTGAACTGTGATGTTAGAGATGACACTTGAGAGTCCCTTGGACTGCAAGGAGGTCCAACTAGTCCATCCTAAAGGAGATCAGTCCTGAATATTCACTGGAAGGACTGATGCTGAAGCTGAATCTCCAATACTTTGGCCGCCTGATGGGAAGAACTGACTCCTTGGAAAAGACCCTGATGCTGAGATGGATTGGGGGCAGGAGGAGAAGGGGATGACAGAGGATGAGATGGCTGGATGGCATCACCAACTTGATGGGCATGAGTTTGTGTAAACTCCGGGAGTTGGTGATGGACAGGGAGGCCTGGCGTGCTGCGATTCATAGGGTCGCAAAGAGTCGGACACGACTGAGAGACTGGACTGACTGACAATGCTCTTATGCTCTAGTAGCTGCTGTTTCCTGAGCACCCGTTTGACACCGTGCATTGCCTGTACTAGGTTCTGCACCTAGTTTGTTTGATTTATTCCTCTTGCAGTGAGAGGGGGTGCTCAGATGTTCCTGTGTGGACGTGGGGAACCCAAGGAGAAGCGACGGGCCTGGGGGCAGCAGGAAGAAACTACGGGGCTGGGCTGGTGGCTGGCAGGGCTGAACCTTCAGATTCTGAGCCCCCTTGGGTCCAAACCTCTCTCCTCCGTGGTTCTGCCTTCCTTGTGTCTGTTATTCTAAATCACTGTGACTCTCACGTTTCTCCCTCCGGAGAGCCAAGGCCCCTGTGGTTTAGGGCATCATGGCCCAGTGCTCAGCGCTGGCTTGGGGCCTTGGCCCGCGGAAGCTCCGTCCCCCCGAGGCCAGCTCTCTACGGCCTGCGGGCTGCCGCGCTCAGCCGCCAGAGTGGGCGAGAGCGATTAATTGTTTATAAAGCACTTAGACACTCTCAGGCGACAAGAGCCGTGTCACACCAGCTTTATTTCATTACCATCCCTTGGAGACCGCGCCATCAGCACGGTCTGGAAACGGGCCGGGAGCCAGGCCCAGCCCTGCCCGCCTCGGTAGCAGCCCTGGGGACCGTGAGCAAGTCACTTAACTCCTCTCAAGCCCCCCGGGGCACCTGGGGAGCTCCTGAGAGAAGAGAGAGCCGGGCTGGGGGCTACCCCTCTTGCCAGACACACGGCTCACCTCTGTCTTTGGGGGTGAGCCAAGCTGACCTGCCAGGGTGCCAGCGGGCCTGGTACCGGCTACTATGGCCATTAGTCTCACTGAAGCCTTTCAACAGTGCCATGAAATGGATGCGCAAGAGCTTTTACGGGTCTCACCGAGGATGGTGCAAGTGTAACTACGTCCATTCTGTCAACAAACAGGCGTCTGCACACGCCCAGCTAGACCTCAGGCCTCCGACTTCGTTTCTTTTTAATATTCACTTATTCAGGCTGCGCTGGGTCTTATTTGTGGCATGTGGGCTTCTCTGCTGTGGTGTGAGAACTCAGTTGCAGCATGCACGTGAGATCTAGCTCCCCAACCAGGGATCGAACCTGGGCCCCCTGTGTGGGGAGCACAGAGTCTGAGCCTCTGGACCAGCAAGAAGTCCCCACCCACCCCTTGCATCCATCCTTTTGACCCTCCCTTCCTCCTTTCTCCCCCTCTCCCTCTTTTCCTCCTTGCAGCAAATGTCAGGGCTGCGGTTAGGGGGGGCCCGTCTTGAAGCCATGAGAGGTGAGCCAGAGGCCTCTCTCCAGGAGCCCAGCTTTTGGGGAACTGAGCCCGTACACCCCATCACTGAGGTCTCTCGGGATAAGCTCTGGGTCTGGGGCTGTGAAATCCAATGCCAGGACTGAAAGCAAGGTTGCAAGGGGTGGGAGGGAGAGGAAGTGAGGCTGTGCACCACCCCCCCAGGTGCCCACACCCCACCCCACCCTCCCGCAGGGTCCTAGGGGAGGCAAAGCACTTTGTGACCATTTCTCCAGCACGGCCCCCGGAGACCCCTCTCCTCCTCGATCCTCCGCAGCTCCAGAGAAGCAGCACTTCTGTGAGGTCTTGGGGGAGCCCCCACCCCCCTCCCTCCACTTCTGAAAGGGCTTCAAAGCCCTTCTGCCCCTTCAGTGAGCAGAAGAAGCTGCAGGGAGCCCTCACCAGTTATGGCCGAGGCTGTGGCCACACGGAGTCCCCAGGCGGCTGTGTCCTTGTCTGCACCGAGTGACCGCCTCTGGACGATGCCAGGCCCTGTCTGTGCTGGCCAGATAGAGGCGGCCCTTCACCACAGCCCTGACCTCCCGAGGCTTGTGGCCTCAGAGTTTCTGCCTGGAACCCTTCAACCCCTGCCCCCGACCATCAGAGCGTCTCCACGACAGTGCCCGAGCTGTCGAAACACCCAGAGCAGGTTCCGGAGCGGAACTGAGAGGCAGAGCTAAGAGCCAGCTCAATGCCCAGCCCTGCACGTCCCGGCTGTGAACCCTGGTGTGACCCGTGGCTGTCATCCCCTCGCTTTGCTCATCTGGGAAACGGGAGCAACAGTCCCCACGATGAAAGTGAGGCTTCGGCGGCTCATCCAGGGGAGGGACCTCATGCTGTGCGAGGCCCTGCGAGGCCCCTGGTGGCCCTGCGCATGTCTCTCCAGCCCCTCAAGCCTCGGTTTCCCATTTGAGGACCCTGCCAGCTCAGATCTTGATTCTCCTGGTGGCCCGCCACCACAGAGGGCAAGGAGGCTGGGGAAGAGGCTACGGCCCCATGGGCTTTTCTGCCCATCTCGACATCTGTTGGCAATGAGGATGAAGCTCAGGGTCCTTCACGGCCAGCAGGGTGGGGCCCTTGCCTTTGTTTGTTCCCAGGTCCTTGCAGGGAGTGGAGGCAGCTTCCACCTGTTCACACCCCTGGGCCCCGCCTGGTGGAATCCCAGCTCCCCAGACACAGGCCAGTCCTCCAGGAGGCTGACCTCCCCTCCCTTCCCAAGGCTCTCCACTCCTGGTCCCCGGGTCAGGCACATCTCTCATCACAGCCCCCACCACATGGTACTGGCTCCCCCAGACCAGGGTTGATGACCCAGCATCTCTCACCGACGGTCTCATTCTGTTCCCAAGAGCCTTGTGAGGGGTCACCCATGCCATGGCTCCCGAGGGGGGGCCCCCTCTGAGCCCCTCACCCCTTCCCCAGCCGGCTCTGGGTCGGAGGAGGCAGCCACCAGGGCCTGGAGAGAAGACGGAGTGTTTCTTCCTGGCGCCCTCCCTGCTGGTCCCACGTGGGGTCATTTACTGAGCCCCAGGGCCCAGACCCGCTGCCCCGTAGCTCTGTGATCTCAGGCAGCTCAGCTCCTCTCTCGGGGGTGGGAGTCGGGGGACAACCCCCGGGGAGCGGGTGGTGGCCCCTTCTCGGTGGAGGTTCCCTGAAGTCAGGAGATTGGACCCAGCAGAGATGCCGCTGGTCCAGTTAGCGGCACTGGTTCCAGTTGACCTCCAAAGGGGCTGCCTTTGCCCCGCCTTCACGCCCCCAGCTAGAATGGAGGTCTTGCTAGCCCCCTGTCCCACGGCCTACTCTCCTGCCTATCCCGCGTGGGAGCTGCTCCTTCCAACCTGGGAGGGTGGGTGGAGGTGAGCCGCCACCTGAGATGCCGTGAATTCAGCTGTTTCCAGCTCTGAACAGCAGTTTGGGGGTCCCTGGAAGCCACTGGAGGCCTTCTTCCCTGGTGGTTCAGTGGTAAAGAATCCTGCCAATTCAGGAGATGCGAGTTTGATTCTCACATGGGGAAGATCCCCTGGAGGAATAAATAGCAACCCACTCTAGTATTTTGACCTGGGGAAGTCCACAGACAGAGGAGCCTGGGGCGGTCACAAAGAGTTGGACACGATTGAGCAAGCCTGGGCTTGGAGGCCACTGGTCACCTGCTGCTGCTCTGGGGGCCTCTGTCCTCTTGGGAATGAGACCCCTCGGGGCTGCAGGAGGACTGTGCTTGCTGGAGACCCTGGGGGCCTGGGGAAAGCCACTTGGCGCTCAGCCCTCTGGGACGACAGAGTCAGGGTCAGACACAGAGGAGGCGGCCACGGCTCCCGCCTGGGTCCCCCGAGCTGCTCTGAGCACGCAGCCCCGGGGCCCAGCAGTGGCCTGGCACAGGGTGAGGGTCCCTGCAGCACAGCCCACCCCGCGGGGCAGTCAGGATGGGTGGCCGGGGTCCCCTGTGGGTCCTACCTCGCCCACACCAGCAGGCGTCCCTGCCTGCGTGAACCAGGAGGTGAAGGGTGCGCAGGGCCTTGGGGCCACGTGTGACTTTCCCGCCTGTGAGCTGAGCTCCAGGAGGACCTGTGAGCAAGGCCTGGGAGTCAGCGGCCTTCAGAGTGCCGCCCCCCCAGCCCCACCCAGGCCTCCCTGAGAGTGATGGGAATCCCGTAACTGCCCCCATTAAGCCCCTCCCCCGCCACCCCAGCTCCCGGCCGAGGTCAATACTAGTCATTTGCCAAATGCAGTCAGGAAACAGATGGGGGCTGGCTACCCAGCCTCGGTTCAGGAGACACGGATGAAAGGGGAACCCAGCCAAGGGCTGCGCTTGTGCCCCTACTGTGCGCTGATGCCACAGTGGGGGCTGCAGCTTCTGGGGAGACCTCAGGGGTGGGGAGAACTCTGGGGGCAGGCGGGGCTCTACATGTAATAGGGGAAGCCTCACGACAGATGCAGAGAGGGCAAAGGCCCCGGGGCAGGACTGACCGCCCAGGGCGGGCGCACGGGCTGCTCCCCTGTCCTTCACTGCGGCTCTCCAACGGGTGTGTAAGCATCATCCACCTTGCAGGCGGGCTCACTCCAGCGTCCCTGAGCCCATGGTGAAGGAAGGGGAAGAGGGATGCTTCTACCCAGGAGTGCTGCACGGCTAGTGGGGGTGCTGGGAGTCACCCTCACTCCGTCGTGAGCCTCCCGGGCCCTGGGGAAGGGTCACCACCATCTTCAGGCGAGGAGCTGTGTACCAGGCTCTGAGCCAAGGGCCCTGCTCAATCTTTACAGCCCTGGTGTTGGCAGGCAGCGGGCGAGGAAACAGGCACAGAGAAGGGAGCGTTCTGCCTCTGCTGGGCAGAGTCAGGACCCGGGCGGAGACCCCGCTGGCTGCATCCGTCCCCTCCCTGAGTCTGCCTGTCGCTGGTGGGGCACCAGCAGACACCCTCCCCCTGCCTTCCCCCAAATCATTCTCTCTCTCCCCCATCTGCCACCAAACTCTGACCAGCCTGACAAGTAGACACCCCTGACCCCGTCCCCCCACTACCCACCAATGCTCGCCATGTCTCTGCTCTCCAGGAGCCTCCAGGTGTGGGCCGACTCTGCCCTCTGCCCCCCTCCCCTCCTCTCACTCTCGGACGCACCCCAGCCAGGCTTTACCTCCTCACCTCCTTCACCTGGGCCCGTGCTGGTCCACCTGCCACCACACCAGGCAGGCCTTGCTTCCTGAATTCTTAAAGCACCTCAATCTGTGTGTGTGTGATGAGCCAAGGTTATCACGCTGAGCTCACGGGCTGCCGGCGGGTCCAGCCCGCAGCAGCTGACTGCCCGCTCCTCCTCTGTGGGCCCACGGCCGCAACGGCAGGCTGGATCTCCTCACACGCTCCACCAGCCTCCGCTGAGGCTCTGACAAGAAGATAAGAAGCATCTCGAATTGGCTTTGCGCTGGTTCACCTCCGAGCCAGCGGCACCCTATGTTGGCATCCCCTCCACCAGGAAGCCGCTGCCTTGCCTGCGGCAGAGGTTGGGGAGGGGATGCGGGACGGCTTGCGGGGCCCTGACGGGGAGGGTCTGAGCCCTCGGTCCTGAGCCCTGCCTGCGCGGTTCCCCCTCCGTCTCTTGTCTGTAAAGCCGAGCCTGTCCTGTCTTGTGCCCAAGGATCGTCCACAGGCTGGCTCTGCCCCGGGGTGTGCAGGTCAGTTCCTAGACCCTGAGCTCAGAAATGCAACCCAGCACGGGGTCGGGCAGAAATCAGTCCAGGACATCGGTGAGTTCTGGGAAAACACAGCCCAGGAGGGAGAGGAAATAAACCCTAGGTCCCTCCGTGTGCGCTTCAGCACTGCCCCCCTCCCACTGTCCCAGTGTCATCCTGTGTTTTGACATTTCTGGCACCCCGGGGCTCACAGTGGGCAGAAGCACCACTGTGAGCAAGCAGGGCCCCGGGGGCTACCCCCACGTCCAGGCCTGGCCTCTGAGCACTCAGGAGATGGATTCCATCCGGACGAGGCGCGAGGCTCAGAGACCAGCATGTCCACTTGGCGGGGGGAGGACGTAGGGCCAGGCTGCGGCCGGTGCCTTGTCCACCGGGGACGGGCGGGCAGGTCTCCTCGTGTCTCTGCCGATCGGTCTAGGGTTTGATCCCCGCGTCGTTCTGCAGACGTTTTAGGATGACAATGCCGTGTGGCATCTGGGTGCCCTAGGACGGGACTTGCCACCCTCACTCCTGCTGGGTTCACAGGAGGGAAACTGAGGCCAAACACAGCTGGACGCCCACAGGATGGGAGAACCAAGCTGAGGCGACAACTGCAGCTGCCACCCACTCCTCTACAACCGACAGCTCCCCCTTCACGACAGGCGGGCCATCAGAGCCAGCCCTGCAGCCCTGCCACCCGCAGCTGCCCCTGCCTCACCCACCCCGTGAGTGGCACGGCTCCCCTATCCCCCCGCGGAGGTCGCTGGCCTTAGCCATGGCGTGGTGATCGCCTCCCTGACCTGCTTCCTGTCCAGGCCGGGGTTGGCCAGGGCGAGGAGGTGATGCAGGCTGTGGCCGGCACAGTTACATGGGCAGGATGGAGCAGGAAGCTGAGTGGCAGCTGGCCCCACGGGCCCAGCTCCCTGGGAGCAGTTGGCGCTCTTCCTGTGGCAGCTGGACACGCCTCCTGGCTGGCCCAGAGACAATAATTAAGAATCAGGTTTCCGTTGAAAAGCTTGATTGCCAGGAGGGGTTGTAAATCAATAGACGGCGTTTTTATCGCAGAATGAAAATTAATTATTCAGTGTCAAACATGCTCGCACTCACTTCTCTGCTGGCAGGGCCGGCTGGACTCGGAGGTGGCCAGGCCCTCTCAGCCAGGACCGGCTCCGAGATGGTCTCACTGGGCCCTTGGGGGCTGCGGAGGGAACCAGAGGCCAGAGGGAAGGGCCTGGGTGGGGGTCCGGTGAAGAGGGGCCATTCTACCTTTCAAGACAGCTCTCCAGCCACCCAGCCTCCCGCCGTGTGCTAGAAGCTGGCCCACCCCCAGCTCCTCCAGGGATGGACAAGCATGTGGTGGGCACAGCAAAGTCACCAGCCATGCATGGCCAGGCTCCATCAGGTCGCTCCTGGGCCCCTAGTGGCCCCCTCTGCTCCACAGTCCCCACTGCCTTTAGGCCAGTGCCCAGCCATTCATCAGCTGGGGGTCCATGCGTGAGGCTGCAGCGACTATGCCCTTCCGAAGGTGGGGGGTGTAGGAGGTGAGGGGTTCAGCCTGAGGGAGGTGGGATGGGCCTCTGTCCATGGAGGGTTTCAGTCATCATCCCCCCTTGGTCCCAACACAGGCCTCCGGCCCCCCACCTGGACCCACTGCCCCCAATCCTTCCCACTGCCGCCGCCCCAGGTGCAGAACTGCCTGGAGACATGAAGCAACAGGATGTATGGCACGGAGGGAGCCAGGCTGGAGCATCAGTTCAGTTCAGTCACTCAGTCATGTCCGACTCTTTGCACCTCCATGAATTGCAGCAGGCCAGGCCTCCCAGTCCATCAAAAACTCCCAGAGTTTACTCAAACTCATGCCCATTGAGTCGGTGATGCCATCCAACCATCTCATCCTCTGTCATCCCTTTCTCCTCCTGCCCCCAATCCCTCCCAGCATCAGGGTCTTTTCCAGTGAGTCAGCTCTTTGCATCAGGTGGCCAAAGTATTGGAGTTTCAGCTTCAGCATCAGTCCTTCCAATGAACACCCAGGACTGATCTCCTTTAGGATGGACTGGTTGGATCTCCTTGCAGTCCAAGGGACTCTCAAGAGTCTTCTCCAACACCACAGTTCTAAAACATCAGTTCTTTGGCCCACAGCCTTCTTTATGGTCCAGCTCTCACATCCGTACATGACTACTGGAAAAACCATAGTTTCGACCCTAGAGACCTTTGTCAGCAAAGTGATGTCTCTGCTTTTAATTTTTTTTTTATTTTTATCTTTTTGGTTAGTAATTTATTTATTTATTTATTATTTTTTTTTATTAGTTGGAGGCTAATTACTTTACATTATTGTAGTGGTTTTTGTCATACAATATGCTGTCTAAGTTTGTCATAGTTTTTCTTTCAAGGAGCAAGTATCTTTCAGTTTCATGGTTATGTAGTCACCATCTGCAGTGATTTTGGAGACCAAGAAAATTAAGTCTCTCGCTGTTACCATTTTTTACCTATCTATATGCCATGAAGTGATGGGACCAGATGCCATGATCTTAGGTTTTTGAATGTTGAGTTTCAAGCTAGCTTTTTCACTCTCCTCTTTCACCTTCATCAAGAGGCTCTTTAGTTTCTCTTCACTTTCTGCCATTAGAGTGGTATTATCAGTATATCTGAGGTTGTTGATATTTCTCCCAGCAATCTTGATTCCAGCTTGAGCTTCACCCAACCAGGCATTTCTCATCTGCATATAAGTTAAATAAGCAGGGTAACAACATACAGCCTTAATGTACTCCTTTTCCAATTTTGAAACAGTCTGTTGTTCCATGTCCAGTTCTAATTGTTGCTTCTTGACCTGCATACAGATTTCTCAGGAGGGAGGTAAGATGGTCTGGTATCCCCATCTCTTCAAGAATTTTCTACAGTTTGTTGTGATCCACACAGTCAAAAGCTTTTAGCATAGTCTATGAAGCAGAAGTAGATATTTTTTTCTGGAATTCCCTGGCTTTTTCTATGATCCAGCGGATGTTGGCAATTTGATCTGATGGGCTCTAGATGAGGAGGTGAGTGGACTGGGCCTCAAGGAAGGAACTGGAGGCCAGGGCCCTGCTGGGAGAGGACTGGACTGGGCAAGGGTGGGGATGTATCACCGCAGCGTCTGCACTGGGCACAGTCCAGAGCCCTGGCTTCCTGACTCAGAGCTGCCCCTGCCCCCCAGAGGCTCCAGGGGCTTGGGGTTCCCAGCATTCCTGGTCCTCTGCCCTTAACTCTCCAGCGCTCCGTCACCAGCTCCTTGCCTGCATCCCGCATCCACCCCCTGCCTGTCCCGGGCTCTGAGCCTTTAAGTGTCCAGCCCTGGCCTGTTGGGGGCAGTGGAGGATGTGGGCAGGGCGCTGCCCACGTGGAGAGCAGAGTCCCGGGGAAGCCAAGCAAGAGTCACCCCGTGGACGCAGGCGGGGCCGAGCCATCACAGAGAGGCTGCTGCAGGGATGCGGCAGGGGCCTGGGGGGTGAGGAGAGTCAAGGCCCGGAGGAAAGGAGGCGGCAGTGTGGCAGCGATCAGCCTGCCCCAGGCCCACTCCCCGCAGAGCCAAGTTCTCGCTTTCATGCTGGGGTTAGGCAGTGCATGCACGAACACAGGCCGAGCCAAGGACCCTGTGTTTTCCAAGACCGGCCTGAGTGCAGTGCGGCTACAGCAGGAGGATGGTGAGAGGCGGGCCGCAGAGGCAGCCAGGGCCAGCCCAGAGCCAGCCGAGTGCCCAGCAGAGTGGACTCGGTCTGGAAGGCTGGGGAGAGGCGAGGTCAGGTCTGACCTCGAGGAAGGTCAACAGAGGGCGCAGATCAGGGAAGGCGGGGCTGGAGCGGCGAGGAGTGGTTGCGGGGAGGCCCTGGGCAGGCAGGGAGAGGAGAGCCACAGACACTATATGGGGTGACGGGCAGCAAGGGTACAACCAGGGAGGGCTGCATGGAGGAGCTGCCCTGCCTGCCCTCCACTTGATGGGCCTCGGCCATTACTGCCCACAGAGGGGGTACCTGGGGGGCGAGGACAGGAGTGGTGAGAGGCACCCAGAGGCCTTGGAAAGTGGGGGCGTTTGTAGGGGCAGCGGGAACCGCGTGCCCTGGTCTCTGCACCTCCAGCGCACTTCATTCAAAGCACTCGAGGTCCGGATTTCTAAACTCCAGCCTCACTACACCCTGGTAAGCGCTGGTCCATCGACTGTCTCCCTGAAAAGCGAGGTCGGAGGAGAGCCTGGCAGAGAGCTTCTGTCAGCGCAGGAGCGGGAGCCAGGCACAGCTGGCTAGACCAGGGTCCTCTCCTGGCGTGGCCTTCCTATGGGGCCGGACACCCCTGAGCTTCCATCACCTCGTCTTGAAGCTGGGGTCACAGCGCCCCCACCCCACACCATCCTCCAGGGGAGGCTGTGCCGGCTGTGGGCCCTGAACTTGAGCAGGCAGGGCGGTGCCCCACTCCAGCATTGCGAGGCGATCCGGGTGCCCTCCGGCCCTTCCAGAGACTGAAAACAGCCCAGCGAACGGGACGGTGTTGGGGAGGGGACATCTGCCCGCCGATCCTGGTGTCCGTGTTGCCGAGGCCCCGTCACCACCAGATATTAATATTTCCAACACTGATATTTACAAAGCTCCCCAGAGGCTGCACTGATGGAATATCGGTGATCATGCTCAGCTAAAAAGAGTCTATTGATTGGGGGAAAAAAAGAGAGGTCACTTTTTTTTTTTAACTCGAACCTATAAAACACTGAAATCCATAAACACCCAGTTCCCGGCCTGCAGAGTGACACCCAAGCCGGGATGCGGTCTCCACGGCCTGGTCAATACGGCTCCATTAAGGGCCGCCCGCCCGCCCGCGCACGCCCCACCCGCCCCGGCCAGGCCCCCGTGGCTGTCCAGATTAATACGTGCCTTGCGTTTTAATTCTGCATCCATTAGTATCACGTTGCCAGCTGATCGGCTCTGTTATTGATCCTGGGGCAGGCCCGCTCAGGGGCCCCGTGCCCCCGGGAGGTCAAGGGACAGGCGGACAGTTCTGCTGGCCCGAGGGCAGGGTCTGTCCTTCTGCACAGGATCTGGTGCGTCCAGTGCCGGCTGCAAGAGCCTGAGACTGGGTGACGCCTGTGGCTCGAGAGCACCCAGGCCCTCCTTAGCTGTCTCGCTCAGGCAGCACCTCCCGGCCTCAGTCAGCACCACCCCAGCAGGTGCCCCAGGCCGGGCGGGGCCCGGGAGGGGGAGAGAAAGTCACATCTCTCCGGCCCCTTCTCCCACCAAGCCTGGTACAGGCCTCCAAGAGAGGGGGCCCGGCCCAACCTCGGCCGACCAGCACGCCCCTCAGGTAGAGAGGACCAGACCACGGGGTCCACTGCACGGGAGGGTGTCCAGGGAGCGGGGTGAAGGAGTCTGAATGCCTTCTGGGAGGAGACAGGGGGTGTAATGGTGTCTCCCGGGGGCTTCCAGGCAGGATGAAGGGCGAAAGGTGACCTAGACATGAGCAGGAAGCCTGGAGGGCCCGCCGGGGTCATCCAGAGGGGACACGGCAGAGCCTGGCTGCCGGCCTGGGAGTCGGCAGAGGGTCGGGCCGCTGGGCAGAACCTGCCCTGTGTAGCCTGGGAGGACCGCTGCCAGGCTCCCCCAGCTAGGAAAGAGTATCCCCCGAGAGCCAGCCCGCCCATCTGCAGCCAGGACGGAGGGCCCCCGAGACGGACGACCAAGTGAGGCGCCTCCTCTGTCTGCAGCAGTCAGGCATCGCTGTGCCCAGAGCTGTGTCCACCCTGAGAAGGACTCACACTCGCCCCGTGAGCTGCTGACACCCGTCCAGACTTCAGGCCTGACAGTGACTCCCGGGGCCCACCAGGCCCAGCCACCTCTCTGAGAACCTCGAAGGTGGGGAGGGAGAGGGTCTAGGGCGGGACAGAGGCCAAAGCAGCAGCTGACAGCCTGATTGCAAAGACAAAGTGTGTAGAGTTGCAGGGAGCCCGCACCCCCACAGCCAGCCCTTCAGGACTGGAGCAGGGGATCTCGCACCTTCAGGAGTCCTGGGACCCTGACCACCCCCCAAATATTTACCCACCGGCATCCTGCTCGGTTCCTGGGACAGAGGCCTGCAGGAAGTAAGAGAATCAGCAGCAATCCTCCCCCAAGGAGCTCCCAGTTTATGGAATAAAACACGATGACATGATGGAGCCGCCAGGGTATGAGTTGGGCCGCTGTTTGAGGGCCCAGTTTTGTTGTTGTTGTTCACTCAGTCGAGTCCGATTCTTTGTGACCCCATGGACGGCAGCAGACCAGGCGTCCCTGTCCTTCACCATCTCCTGGAGTTTGCTCAAACTCATGTCCATGATGCCATCCCACCATCTCATCCTCTGTCGTCCCCTTCTCCTCCTGCCTTCAATCTTTCCCAGCATCAGGGTCTTTTCCAATGAGTCGGCTCTTCACATCAGGTGGCCAAAGTACTGGAGCTTCAGCTTTAGCATCAGTCCTTCCAATGAATATTCAGGACTGATTTCCTTTAGGATGGACTGGTTGGATCTCCTTGCAGTCCAAGGGACTCTCAAGAGTCTTCTCCAGCAGCACAGTTCAAAAGCATCAATTCTTTGTCTCTCAGCTTTCTTTATAGTCCAACTCTCACATCCATACATGACTACTGGAAAAACCCAGTTTAAGAGAGTTTAAATGATTAAAAGTGATTCCTATCTGGTTCAGGACCAGCAGAGACGGGGTGGCCAGGCCGGCAGGGTGACCCCATCCCCAGGGTGGCCCCACACCCTCTGCTGGTCCCCAGTCCTGGCAGCCGCCTCCTCTGCCCGGGTCTGAGATGCCCAGCTCCACTCTGCACTTGGAGGGCAGAGGGGGCGCATGGCCCTTCCCTCTCTGACTGGCCTGAAACGCACCCTCATCCAAACCCCCAGAACTCGGTCCTGTGACCACAGGCAGCCGAGGGTTGGGAACTGGGATGCGGCCTTCACTCCAGGGCCAGCTACGCGCCCGAGGTTCCATCGCTGCCAGAGAACAGTGAACAAGAACAGGGAGAAGTCAGAGTGGCTGCCACTGCTGGTCCCCAAGACCCCAGGAACAGACCCCGGCCCACCCAGCTCGTGCTCCTTCCCCCGCTTCCGCCAGGGGGGAGCTCGCTCAGAGCCCAGGCATCCACCTGCTGGAGGTGTGCGCCGATGGTCTCAGGGCTTGAATGTAACAGCAGCAGCGCCTGTGCAGCCCAGAGACCCACAATAAACGGTAAGACTGAGGCCTGGACACCGCCTGCCACCCAGGGAGCTCTGGTCTGGGAACGCCTGATAGCGTTCCCTCCCGGGTGAGGGCTCTGGGTGACTGTGAGCTGATGACCACAGCCAAAGCCGTGCGCCGCGGCTGCTGTGGGGACGCAGTGAGGGGACATGGGCAGAGGGAGCCCAGCGGAGCCCACCGCGTGCGCCACGAGAACCATCTTCACCATTGACTGTAAAAGCCTCACAGAGGGTGATGGAAGGGCTTTAGAAATAGAAGGTGGGGTTTCCCAGGGGGTGCTAGTGATAAAGAACCCGCCTGCCAGTACAAGAGACATAATAGACATGGGTTCGATCCCTGGGTCCGGAAGATCCCCTGGAGGAGGAAATAGCAACCCACTCCAGTATCCTTGCCTGGGAAATCCCATGGACAGAGGAGTCTGGCGGGCTGCAGTTCATGGGGCCACAAAGAGTTGGACACCACCAAAGCAACTTAACATGATGGTCACACTAATCGTGAGTGCACCTAATGTCACTGAATCGTACCCTAAAAGATGGCTAGAAAGGCAGATTCTACAGGAGAGACATTTAAGTACACAACGCAAAAGAGAAACACCAGGTTTCTTGGTTGGGGGACGGCACCCAGCCTCCCCGGGAAAGGGCCTGTGGGAGGGGCGGAAGGTTCTGTCCTTGGGGTGTGGCTAGAGTCTTTGGGAAGGAGGTGACCGTGGTTGATGAAAGGGGCCTGGGGAGAGGAGGTGAGCATAGGGCAGGACGAGAGATGGGAGGGCCGGGCTCAGGTCTGGGGGGCTGCAGTCAGGAGCCGGCCGCTGGAAGAGGGCAGAGGAGCCCAGGGCGGGATAGCTCTAGGTCCCACTGGACCCCCCAGGACAATCCCGCACCAAACTCCACGCCCGAGCCCCACGCCTCCTCTCTCATGAGCACAGATCATCTCGGCGGCCCTGGCGAGTGACTGCAGGGCCACGTGGCACCTAAAGGGTTTCTTGCGAGTTTCTTTGGCAGAAAAGGTCGGACTGTCGATATCAGCCTCTCTCTAAGGAAGTGAGTGTAGAAAACGCGATGCTTCTGACCTCTGAGCTCAGGCAGCTTCAGGTGCCCAGGTGGGGTCTCCTGCAGACAGACTGCCCCCACCCCGACGCTGACATGCGTCCTCAAGGGATCAATAAGTCCCTGAGGTTGTCTGCTCTCCAGTTGCAGAATTAATAGGCGGTTGTTATTGGTCTTGTAACAGCCATGTGGCCCGGCTCTCGTTACACGAGGTTGACGGCAGGCCCCTGGACAGATGGCCAGCCCACTCCTCTGCAGGGCCGGGCGTCCGTAGCCACACGTGGGTGCCCTGGGCTGGGTGCCCAGAGCTGGGTCCCCTTGCTTCCCCCGGACGCTGGGGTCTGGAGGCTGAGGACCTCTGAGCTGCAAGGGCTCAGCCTGGGTCCCATTTACAGAATGGAAGTCCACGGGCGAGTGACTTGCCTGAGCCACAGAGCAGGTGACTGAACTGTCAGTTTGGTGAATCTTTTTTTTTTCCAGAGTTGTTCAAATTCCAAAGCTTAGCACATAAGGCCCTTGGTGAGAGGACCTGGATTCCCAACCCACTGGGGATCCCTAAGGACACACACGCACATGTCCACACAGGCCCTTCTTTCTAAGTGTGTGCATCGGTTCCCTGGGACCTCGCTGTCTCACACCACAGGACCTTTGCACAGGCTCCCTTGGCCTGGAGCAGGCTCTCCATGCCCTGCCTTAGCTTAGTCAACCGCTTCCCCTATTCAAAACCCAGCTGGGAGCCACTGGCCCAGGAACAACCTCCTCAGCCCCAAGCTGGGCTGGGCCCCCCCATCTAACCCTGCGCCTGTCACCCCGTGAGCTGACCCACCTGACTCCACCATGAAGCTGTGACATTTAAGAAACAGGGCTCCATCTCCTCCTCAGTCTCCATCCTCACCCGTCCCAGTGCCTGGGGCAGAAGAAGGGCTCAATAAAGAGCTACTGAACGTGCGATGTCTCCCCTTCCTGCCTGTAAAGTAGGTCGACAACCCAGAGACTTTGCCCCCTTGCTCCCAGGCTGGTCTCACTGGATTCACGCCCTTTCAGTGACTGGGGACCAAACCCAGGATCCAGTGCTGGACCTCAAGACCCAAGCAGAGATGCTTGGGCAGCAGTCAGAGATTTCCCCCCCTCAGAGGTCGTTCTGAGCCCCCAGCCCCAGTGGAGTTGTCCACACACCAAGGGTCACTGCACCAGTGGCCCATGTGTGTATGTCTGCTAAGTCGCTTTAGTCGTGTCCGACTCTTTGTGATGCCATGGACTGCAGCCCACCAGGCTCCTCTGTCCATGGGATTCTCCAGGCAAGAACACTGGAGTGGGTTGCCATGCCCTCCTCCAGGGGATCTTACTGACCCAGGGATCGATCTTGCATCTCTTACATCTCCTGAATTGGCGGGTGGGTTCTTTACCACGAGTGCCACGTGGGAAGCCCCACCAGTGTGCTGGGGAGCGTTCTAAAGGACTGCAGCTGGAGGGGGGAGTATTTCTTTCTCCCAGTCCTGGAGGCCGTGGGCGAGATCATGGTGAGGGGGGCAGCTGGTTCCCTCTGCAGCCGTGACGGGGAATCTGGTCCAGGCCCCTCTCCCAGCTTCCAGGAGTCGCTGGGATCTTTGGATTCCTAGGTTTGTAGAAGCATCACCTGCATGTCCACCTCTGTCATCACACCGTGTCTGAGTCTTCATACTGCGGCCTCCCCTATGTGGATCTGTGTCCCCTCTTCTGACAAGGATGCCAGTCCTACTGGATTCGGGGCCCACCTGCCCCAGGGAGGCCTCAGGGTAACGCTCATCTTCACGACATCCTCAAGGCCCTGGGTCCAGAGGAGATCATGTTAAAACCACCAGGCTGGGGCCATGACGCTCCCCTTTGGGAGACACAGTTCGCCCACAACCAGACCCATCTGAGGTTGTCAAAAGTCAGGGCATCACGGGAGGAAGACAGGCTCCTTTCCCACCCTGGGGGCACTGGGGAGAGATGGGCATAGAAGGAGGACCCCCCCGAGGAAGCCAAGGGAGGGGCAGCAGAGAGCAGGAGGGCCGTGTGATGAAGGTGAGGACAGGCAGGAGTTTCAAGGAGGAAGGCGGCCCAGACGCGGCTCCACGTCTGCGGGGACGAGGCCTGAGCCCCGTGACCTCAGCAGGAGCCAGGGGCAGCCCACGGGGGCGAGGAGGGTGTGGGCAAGGGAAGTACGATGCGCGCGGTACCCACACTGCCCAGGGGCCTGGCTGGGAAAAGGAAGGTGCACTCAGAGGGCAGCAGGGAGGGGAACCGGACTGGGGAGGAGACGCGGGTCTTCCCAGGCCCCTGGAGACACCCGGGGGGCTGGGCACCAGTGTGTGAGCAGAAGGAAGGGGTGAGGATGCACCCAGAGGGCGCGCAGGATGGAGCAGGGCACGGCCAAGAGCCTGGTCCACCCTGCAGCTCCTCCTTCCTCCATTGACCAGGGGGAAGAGGGGCCCCGGGCTCCTGGGACGGGGGAGCACCCTAGTCTCCGCCCTGGAGCAGCCCCCTCCTCAGTGGCACCTGTGATCCGCATTACTGAAAGGTTCTGGCCGCACGCAGGTCCCTGAAGTGGTCTCCGTCTTGACGCCCTTTGTCCGCATCCTCACACTCGCCTGCGGGTCCCCCCAGCTTCACGTATCTCCCTTCTGCCCACCTCCACCCAGGCCGTGGTCCTCTCCGCCCCAGACACGGCAGTCCTCGGGACGGCCGGCCCTCCGAACAGCAGCCAGAGGGGGCCATACAAAGCGTAAATCATCATCAAAGACAGCCCATGGTGTGGGGTCACAACATGCATAGTGGACGAAGGATTTATGTACAAAATATAGAGTCCCCTGGAGTAGGGAAGGGCTACCCCCCCGCAGCATTCTCCACGAACAGAGGAGCCTGGTGGGCTACAGTCCACGGGGTCGCAAAGAGTCAGACACGACTGAAGGGACTTAGCTTCCAGGCACGGAGTCCCAACAAATCAACAGGAAAAGAATTTTTAACAGGAAAAGATAAACACCGTTTCAGAAAAGAAGAAAGCAAGCAGCCCCTGAGTGGAGAAACGATCCTCGTCAACCACGAGGCAAGTGTAGCCAGGTGATGAGGAAAGGGCATCGCACGCCCGGTGGACCAGTGACATCCAGTCCCACACCCGGGAATGACGCTGTGGATGCCGGCGAGTGAAGCGCCTACAAGAGCCTTGGAAAGCGGGTTCTCTCAGGCCCCCACTGAGCAGCGGCGTAGCCAGGCAGAGCATCGCTGTCTGCAGTAAACCCGGAAACCACCTCCGACATCTCAAGACGCACTGGAGAGCGGCCGCTTGGATCGGGGTATGCTCACACCAAAGAACAGTCTCAGCTGTGAAAGTGAATTCATTACACAAACACACTTCTAACTCACTGAAAGGGTAATGGGCCTCGGAGGCATGGGCATGCCACATTTTAGGAAGGTGGCCTCCTGATAGCATGAAAGAAGGAAAGTGGAAGTCGCTCAGTCGTGTCTGACTCTTTGCGACCCGCTGGACTGTACAGTCCATGGAATTCTCCAGGCCAGAATACTGGAGTGGGTAGCCTTTCCCTTCTCCAGGGGATCATTGCAACCCAGGGATTGAATTTAGGTCTCCTACCTTGCAGGTGGATTCTTTACCAGCTAAGCCACTCTTTACCTGATAGTGTGAGAATCCACAAATGTGCCTAAAAGAGCTTATCTCCGGCTTCTAGGACACAGCCGGGAATGCACAAGAAAAATACTTACTCAAAGGCTGACCGTTTGCATGTGAATTCAGACACTTCACTGCGAGGCGCCAGAGGAAACACAGATTGCAGAGGCAGAGAACCTGGCTCTGAGCCCGGCCCCACCACGCCATCTGGAGGCCTTAAGCACCTGGCTCCTTTGGGCCTCGGTTTTCCTCATCTGCAAAATGGGAATAATGAACCGGGCATTGTGGGAGCAAATGAGCCTGCACCTGCGGGTGAGTACGCACAGAGCACTTCCACCTCCCAGCAGGCCCTGGCAGAGCAAGCTGGCCCCACAGAGACCCTGAGATCTCTCCTCCTTCCCCCGTGAGCGCCCCCCACCCCAGCCCTTCCCGAGGTGACAGCAGCAGCAGCATCGCTTTCACAGCCCTGACCGTGAGCCCCTAGGACGGCCTCTGGAGGGGAAACACAGCCTGGGTTGGCAGCTCATTCATCCCCAATCCAAGAGGTGGCCCCATCACCTCCGAGTGCCTCACATGGCTGGCAGGAGGTCTGTGCCCTAGCCCCTGGCCCCACAGAGCTTCCCTGGCAGGGCCTTCTGACAGACACATCAGTGGACAGATCTGTGGCCCCTGACACAGTTCCCCAGGGAGGACAGCCCCCACCAAGGTCCCTCTTCTTCCAGGAAGTCCTCCCAGGCTTCTCAGGACAATCCGAGATGTCGGCCACAGGCTCGTCCCCAGTGTGCAGGACAACTCTGCTCCCTGCCAGGTCTCTGGGGCGCTGGGCTTCCCTCTTGCTTCCTCACTCCTCCACACCCCGTGAATGTTGACAGTCCCAGGAAAGACAGAACCACAGGGACCCGCGCAGTGTGCCCTGAGGGGTCTGAGGCCAGTGGGGGGAGGTCCGTGGGGAGACCACCGGGACACCAGGCAGCTCAGCCCCCTTCCTCCCACCACGCTGTTGAGGGCCCTGCCCCAGACCTCCTCACCGGCCCCAAGGCCAGCACATGCCCTAGGTCCTGGGCAGTGACGGCTAGCTGTCCCGCCCGTCACCTGTTAACTGGCCACACATGGTCCCAAACGAGGACTCGGGTCCGGCCAGCCTCCCAGGGAGGCATAGAGGGGGTGCGAGCCGGGACGTGGGGCGTTTCCATGGTTTTGCGGGGGGAGGGTGGTGAGGGGGCGGGTTTCAGTCCCTGATGCCTGGCGGTGTGCATGCAGGGCTGCTGGGCCGCTAGCTGGAGTGGGTGGGGGTCGCTGCAGGCCCGGCCCGGGGGTCAAGGGGGGCTCAGGTCCTCTCTTTCCTCAGCCTCTGCCCTCCCGGTCACCGTCAGAGGGGCCCAGCTTCTCAGCAGGGCGGGAGGGACATCATCCGGGTGGGTGGGGACCGCTATGTGCCAAGGCTAACTGCTGTCCCTGACCCTCACGTCAGAGGCGAGGGAAGGTGAGGCTCTGGCTTTGCTTGCCTGGCCCCGGGGAGCCTTGAGAACCCCCCTGCTGCCTGCGACAAAGGGACACGCGAGCCCTTCCCCACGCAGCTCAGCTGTTCCTACCAGGAAGCTGCGTTCCACGACCGAATCCAGACACAGGCGGCACCAGCTCACGACTTCATCTGGAGTCAGGCCCTGGAGACGCATCATCCGCGGGGTTCCTGGGAGCATAGTTGCCCCACTTTTATGAGAACAGATGTTTCCTTGGAATAAACAAACCCATGAAGCGGCCTTCCTTGGAGTTAAAGCTGAGCTTCAACAGTCCTGCACGGGTACATCAGGTTCACCCCAGCCTCACTGAGCGGCTGAGAGGAAATTAGCTAAAGGATGGAGGGTGATCTCCGGGTTTTTTCGGGATGAGGGCTTTGCCGAGACACCGGGTGGCCAGCACCGAAACGCACAGGGTCCCAGGGAGAGCGGGATGGTCAGCCACCCCGGAGCCCACAGCCCCGACACCAAGCCTGGCACAGCCAGGCGTGGTCTCTGCACCCACGGGAATGGGGTGTGCGTGGACACAGGCGAGGTGCACGACTTGCCTGTAAGGACACGTCTCCCCGACACGGTGCAGAGCAAAGAGCCGGGAGCCGCTGTGTGTCCCAAGCGCAGGACGGGCCAGTGCTCCATGGGGCCACCCGTGCAGATGCTGGGGTGTCACGGGCCTCCGGCTGCTGCTCCCTCGATCTGGACCCCCTGCCGGCCCCCAGGTGCCCTCAGACAGGGGATGGCCCCTCCGCAGGCGTCTCGCTGGGCGTCCCCGGGGCCGGGCACTGGCTCTTCTACACTCGCCCGTGGCCCACGTGACAGCCTTCACACAGTCCCCACCATGCGTCTGGGACAGAAAACTCCCTACAGCGTCATGTCCTTCAACACTCACAGAGCTCCCTCAAACGGTAAGTGCTTTTAATCCCACTTTACAGATAAGAAAACTGGGGCCAAAAGAGGTGGCGTCAGGGTCCTAAAGTTACACTGGGCCCCAAAATGAGCCGCTGGCCCCTGACTCACGCGGGGGCCCGCCTTCCCCCACTGCAGCATTCTCCTGGGTGAAAGGAAAGGGGGTCCTGATGTCCACCTTCTCCCAGCCCAGACCCCAGACCCCAGGGCCGCCCTCTCCCCTGCTGGAGGCGCTGCTGGCATTCAATCCGCAAATGCCGTTGACGAGACGGGCCGTCAGTGTGGACTCATCGCCATCAGCAGGCCCGGCCGGCGGCCTCCCATTATCGCCGGATGAATGACTCCGTTTAGAGAAGTCGTTTGGGCCGCTGTCCCAGACAATGACTCCTGTCAAAAGATTTACCGAAGCTCATGGGCGATACAGCGGGAGGCCCCGTGGGCCTGGCCTCAGCGTTTATCCTGCAGAAAACAAAGATTGCAGCGTGGACCATTTTGCCGCTGGAATTCATGCCTTTTGACCCCCAAATGGAGAGCTAAACCCAGGGCTCATTTCCACTTGAGCCTGGGGATGTCGTGAACAGCTGGCTCCGATGCAGGGCCCTGCGCGGGCCTGGGGTGGAGAGCAGACCATGAAATGACTGCAGAAGGAAGCGGCTCACCCGCAAGTTCCATCTGACCCCCTCCCTGGGGAGCACCCCCTGAAGCACTTGCTTCCAGATTTGGGCGCCAGGTAAGGGTTCTGGCTGGAGGAGGGGTGATATGCATCTCCTGTTCCCGCAGTGAAGACTGTCAACTTGATCACGGTGTATTATCCTCCTGGCTTACCGGAAGCTCAGAGGCCGCCAAGAAACCCAAGTCCATCGGGAAGTTAGTGTTTGTTAGCATTAGTTGCTCAGTCGTGTCCAACTCTTTGTGACCCCATGGTCTGTCCATAGAATTCACCAGGCAAGAATACTGGAGTGGGTAGCCATTTCCTTCTCCAGGGTGTCTTCCCAATCCGGGGGCTGAACCCGGGTCTCCTGCATGGCAGGCAGATTCTTTACCATCTGAGCCAGCAGGGAAGTCCACACAGGGGAATGTACTGCATTAAAACTTTAACAGATGAAGTGCAACAGAGCTGCCTTCCTTTCCATTAAGGAATCACTGACATCAAAAGTTAGGAACCTGATTCCAGGTATACTGTCCTATGTTGGTCCCTGGTAATACACATGTGCATTCTCTTCTACATTGGTATCAGGTGGCTGTTTGGATTTTGTTTGTTTAACATGCCTCACACTGTAAGCCACTTCAGATCCTTTGTTGAAAGAGGGTGGGGTATGAATAAAATAAAATAACAAAGCAGAGTGGGGCAGCAGGAGAACAGAAGGCAGGGGTCTGTGACCTGCTTCTGGCCATGACAGCCAATGAGCCATTTTCCCTTTGACTGAGTGAGCCATCAGTTTCCTGTGTGTGTATGACTCTGGTTCTAGACCAGCCTCAGTCATCTTCAACCATGCACCTGCCTGTCAGCATTCCAGATCCTCCACCAGGACTGTATCAGCCAGCTTTGCCTGGTAACAAGCATCCCTTTATCCAAAACATGTTGAATTTTCATTCACAGCCCATGTCAGTGGCTCAGCTGTGCCTTGTCTTTCTGTCCAAGGACCCAGGCTGAAGGGAAAGGCAATTGGGAGATGCTGTTCTATCGGCAGAGTGAAGAGAGTGGGAGGGCTGGAGAAAGTCTGAAACGGACCCTACAGCTCCTGCTCCGTATACCCACCCCCACAGCCACGCCACCATCAGTGGGCAGGTGTGGACAGCTCCCCAGGAAGCACTGAGGCCACAGGTTAGCACAGCAGAGGCCTGGATGGACGACTCCCAGGAGGGTGGAGTGAAGAGCCGACAGCGCTAATACAATTTGCTGCAAAGATCCAGAAAGAGAGACCCATCTGGGCAGGGTTCCAGCTGGTCTGCTCGTCCCCATGGGAAGACCCAGGGCATTGCAGGAGTTCCACAAATACCGCTGTTGTGAACCGCTGGCATGCACAAATAATGTGTGTTCAAATGATGTGCGAACAGCAGGCATGCTGCTCCCTGGGCACCTTGCTGGGCATCCCCCAGGGCTGGGCACTGGCTCTTCTACACTCACCTGTGGCCCACGTGACAGCTGCCACAGAGTCCCCTGCCCTGGGGCTGGGACAGAAAACTCCTTACAGTGCTCACAGAGCCCCCCAAAGGGTAGGTGCTTTTAATCCCATTTTACAGATAAGAAAACTGAGGCCAAAGAGGTGGCGTCAGGGTCCTAAACGCACCCTGAATGCACAAAACATGAGCAGACAGCCGGCAGACTGAAGAGTGACCAGCAGTCCCTGGACACAGGCACATGCCAGCCTCCACTGCTTCAGGGCTGGTTCCTGCCCATGGATAGCCAGCACCTCTCTTCTAGGAAGAGGGGAAGGCAGACCCACCGTGACAACCTCTTGAGATGACGCATGGCAGCCTCAGTACCTGCCTGGTGGGGGCACTGGCTCAGGAAGGTTGCTTCCTTGGTCTTCAGCAGCTTTCAGGATGAGGTCTCGTTTCAGCTGGACAGACCAGGTGACACCAAATAAGCATGTGTATTGCAATTACAGGTGAAGATGATGACGGAGATGGCCATAGTCACAGAGCACTCACAGGACCCCAGGGACTATCCCATGTACCTGACGTGGAGTAACCCACGTGATGCTTACAAGGTAGGGACTTGGACAAGGAGATCAGGCAATGGTGGCTTTAAAACATGTCTGCAAATTCTGGGACTTCATCGCATCGAGAGGTATAGACCACAACACACACACACACATGCATATGCATACGTACCTTGAATCCAGCTGTGCTTGGGGCTCTTTGGAACCAATGTCATGGAGGTGAGATTGGAGAGATAAGGTGATGTAACTCCAGGCTTGCTCACCAGAACACCACCCACCCTGAGAGCCCTGAGCTGCAGGGAGGAAACTCCACTTCCAGAGCCAGTCTCGTGTGAGGAAGCCCCACCACGTGGAGAGGTCAGATCTGGACCCCAAGCTCAACAGTCCAGGCACAAACCACAGGAGCAATGAGACTTCAGACAATCTTGACCCCCATCCGTGGAGTCAGGAGGAGCCTCCAGGCTTCCCAGAAGGGGGCCTGGGCTTTGGAGCAGAAACAGGCCACCCATACTGTCCTTTCCAAAAAGATCGTTGTTTCATGCCCCTAAGTTCAGGGTGGTCTGTCCTATGGCAACAGGACAGAGGTTGTCTGCCTTGACAAACCCAAAGCATCTCTGATCCTGGGCAGTAGACAGGAACTAAGGAGACCTTGAGGAGATGGCCAGTTAGGGCCTGAGAAAGAGTAAGCGAGATGGGATGGGGAAACAGAGACCCTTGCTCTGTGATGGCCCAAGGAGAGCAATGGTCACCAGCAGTGAAGTGTGAAAATGTACCTGAGACTTCCTGGCAGTCCAGTGGTTGAGACTCCATGCTTCCAACACAGAGGGTGCAGGCCCAGTCCCTGGTTGGGGAGTTAAGATCCCACATGCCTCCTGGCCAAAAAGTCAAGACATCGAACAGAAACAATATCGTGACAAAATTCAATAAAGACCTTAAAAATTGAGTTCAGTTCAGTCGCTCAGTCGTGTCCATCTCTTTGTGATCCCATGGACTGCAGCACGCCAGGCCTCCCTGTCCATCACCAACTCCCAGAGTCTACTCAAACTCATGTCCATTGAGTCGGTGATGCCATCCAACCATCTCAGCCTCTGTCGTCCTCTTCTCCTCCCACCTTCAATTTTTCCCAGCATCAGGGTCTTTTCAAATGGTCCACATCAAAAAAAAAAAAAAAAATCTTTAAAAACAAAAAAGACTTACCTGGTGGGCCAGTGTTCTGAGTCTGCCTGCCGGTGCAGGGGAAACAGGTTTGATCCCTCGTGCTGGAAGATAGATCCCACATCCCGCAGAGCAACGAAGCCCATGGGCCGCAACTGCTGAGCCTGCGTGAGGCAACAGCTGAAGCCTGGGTGCCTAGAGCCGGTGCTCTGCAACAGGAGAAGCCACCGCATGGAGAAGCCAGCCCACTGCAGCTAGAGAGCATCCCCCCTCTGCAAATAGAGAGAGCCTGCACATAGCAACCAAGATCTCCTGCAGCCAAAAATCAAATAATTGTTTTAAAAAGAAGCACCATTAAATGTTAGGAAAGAAAGAAAGGAAATGTACCTAATTAACCCAGTAGTCTGGCAGATATCTTCTGTAAAAGGCCGGAGAATAGATATTTGAGATGCTGAGATGTATAAGGACAGTGTCTGGTGCGGCTCTGCAAGTCTGTGGTCGCAGCTCAAAATCAACCACCAGTGATACATAAATCATCGGGCATGGCAACATCCCAGTAGAACTTTGTTCACAAAAGTAAGTGGCAATCAGATGTGGGCCATGGGCCAGGGCTGGCTGATTTTTGACCTAGCCAAGACTCCCAGGAAAATTATTGAAAGGGTCACCTCTTTTCTCCTTGCTGCCCAGGATTAAATGCCAGAGGACAGAGGTGAGCCAAAGGGAGAACTGCAATTTTTAAGAAAAAAATTTGAGAAAATTTAAATGCACCAAGATTTGCTGGGCTTGCAAGTTGAAGTGCTTCTCGTTACCCAGCCTGGTCAGATTCTACAGTGTCTACAGCACTTTCAGTGGAAAATTGTCTCAAAATGAAAAATGGCTTCTGGAAGAAGATCAACCCTAGAGCAGGGCTCCAGGATCCTTTATCAGCATTTGGAAAGATCTAAGGGGGAACCTTACAGAGAAAAACCCTCAAAGGAACTTAAAGTATGTCTCTCTCATTAAACAGTAAACAATAGGTTTGGGGAATCTCAGGAAACTCTGAGGGGCTCAAGACAGAGAAGATCTTCTCCTAAATAAGTGTGTGGCTGTGTCTGATCTAAGGGACTGAACATCAGTAAGATTCATAGGAAACCCACAAAGTCTTAGGAGGATTATACTAGTGGAAACACTGGCAGCCTGGCTAAAAAGGAGCAGAGATGGTAATAAATACAGATGCTCTTGGACTCTAAACTACTGTGGTCAAGAAGACTGAGAAAGTCACTTCGTTGCAAACATAGGTCACTTCTTATGGTAAAAGAGGGATGAACCAGGAGCCACAGAGAACCGTCCCCAGGAAGCGGAACGAGCCTATTCAAGCTGGGCTTCAGAATTGCTATCAAGTGGAGACTTCCACAGGCTTCCTGCTTTTTAAATCCCCTACCGTTGTGTCTTGGGTGTGGAGAGGGGTGTGAATTCCTCTATCCTTGGTTCGCAGATCTTCAGGTGATATTTTTAAAACTCCGTACTCAGGGATCAGGGAACTGCACACAGCAGATCCACACTTGGGTACGTGACAAGACCCTGGACCTCACGCCTGGGCTTGAGACCGTGACAGTGAACCTTTCAGGGGGCGTGAAGGGAGGTGAGTGTGTTTCACATGCGAGAGAAACATAAATAATCTGTGGTCAGAAGGCAGACTGTGGTCGTTCTGAAACGTCCACGAATTCCTTGGGGCTCCTCCCGTGGAGAGGTGGAGATCCATGTCCCTTCTCAGATCTGAGCGGCTTGGGTCCTGCTTGGAAGCAATGGCACGTGGTGGAAGTGAAACTGCCCCGAGGTGACTTCGCCTCATCCACGGAGGCCCCGTGCTTGGAGTCTGAGCCGTGGTAAGCGCTCCAGCCTCCTAGATCGCCCTGCTGTCGGGCAGCCGCGTGTCGGGCAGCCAGGCCTCCTGTCACACGAACCACGCGTGTCACTGGCACTTCTGGCCTCCACCCTGGTCCTCATCGTGACCCTCCTCGTCACCATCCCCACTCTGACCCAACTCTCCCTCTAGTTAAGAGACACCGGTGTCCGGGCTGAGGACGCCCACGGTTGTGCAGCCTTCGCAATTCCTCCGCAGCCTTCACTGCCCGAGGCCACCCTACTGTCGAGGCGCACCCCTCATCTGGCCCAGCAGCAGCCCCCACCGCCCGCCTGCTGACCCAGGCCGCGGTCCCCTGGACCTCCCACGAGTCCTCACCCCGGTCCTGCCTAACTGGCCCGCCGGCCTCTCTGGCCACACGGTCTTCCTCCCAGAAGGGCCCGGCCCTGCCCTGCTCTGGGGCTGTCAACACCTTGCCCAGCTTCACGGCCCATGTCGGCCTGTGGTTCTGTGGTGTCGTCTCCCAGCTCGCCCACCCTAGTTAGAATATCAGCTCCAAGCAGGTGCAGGCCTGTGTTTGGTCCTTGACTTTAACCCCCCCAGCCCACCCAGTGTCTAGCATGGGACAGGGGCTCTAGGAGTTTGGGTTGAATGAATGAATGACCTCTGAGGTCAGCCAGGCCCCCCTCCCATGCCAGCTCTGTCTCACATTGTCCATGAACCCGGCACAGGCGCCCTGCCCCCATCCCACCTGACTCTTGCAGGATTGGAGCAGGGAGATGAGGCCTGCTTTTCTGGAGTCCAGCTGGGGTTTGCAAAGCATGCAGACCCCAGATGCTCCCGAAGGCCCTGCCTCCATCTTCATCCTGCCCACCGGCTATGACCTTGGCCCACTGACTCAGCATCTCTGAGGCTCCGTTTCCAGTCTGCGATGGCACAACGCCCTTAGTGCGGGCTCCCGGGGGTGAGCCGTGCTCTCCACCCGCCCCCTGCCTCTGTCTCCAGCACTGAGTCGGTCACACGGCCTGACTGTGCTCTCTCCCTTGCCTCCTCCCCACAGCAGTCCTCCGCCTCATCACCCCGACTCATAGAGGGGGGAACTGGGGCTCCGAGAGGTGCCACAGCCATCCACACAGCAGGGAGGAGAGTCTGCATTTGAACCCAGGTCCGTGCGGCTGTATCGCTCAGCCTGGACAGGGCTGGCAGGGGCGGTCTCTCCTGGGGATCTGATTCTGCCCCTCAGGTCACTTTAACATCTACGGTGCCGGGGTCCGGGGAAGTGTCAGCTCCCCACGCCAGGGAGCAGTGTGGGCGCAGGGAAACCAGGCTGCCTGCCAAGTGCACAGTAGGCACGCAGATTGCGGGTGGGGACAGTCACAGCCCCGCACGTGGTGTAGGTCCCCCGCCTCGTCCCATGAGCAGATGTGCTGACCTCCAGGGTCCCTGGGTGATGACCCCTCAGTGGGCAAACAAGGAAGGACCTACTGTGTGCACCGCACCGCACAGGGAGGGGCCGGGTCGGCTCTGGCTGCAGGGTCCCCTGCCTGCCTCAGACCTGCCCCCGGATGTGCAGAGAGGCAGCCCCAGGCCACACAGCCGTCTGTCCCCTCGCCCCATGCAAGCCTCCAGAGGCTGCACCTTTGAGCTGTCGCTCACTGTAACCTGATCAGCGACAGGACAAGGATCTGAAGCCCCAGGACAGGAGACATCTTAATTAGCGGCTTTTCCGGAGTAGCCCGAGCCCCAGACATCTCCTAACTTGTCTGGGCTTCCCGGCTGCATTGCCGGAGGCTGGTTCGTCACCACGCGTGTGTTCACCACGCGTGTGTGGGCCTAGACTGTGACCTGTGAGGCTGAGAGATGCTGGCGGCTCGCACCTGGGACCCGCCTGGCCCAGGACACACCATCATCTCCCTTCCGTAGGCGCAGACTGGAGCTCCCATCCGTAGAGGCGGTCCCACAGGGAGCGTGGTCCTGGGCAGGGAGGTTAGGGAAGCCGGAGATGTCAACGGACAGTCCAGCAGAGAGTGGCTCCCAAACCTGCGCAATTGGAACCTGCCGGAACCCGATGCGAGCTGGGGCAGGGACTGTTTCCTGAGCCAAGCCCTGGATCTCTAGGTGGGGCGGGGACTAGGGTGCGGCTAGATCTCAGCTAGTGACCGACCTGGAGAAGTCACCCCCAGGAGCCCCTGTGACCCAGAGCGGATGGGCCTGGCAGGGGCGCTTCAGGCGGGCCTTTAAGACCAAGGGGGTCCGAGGCGGCTGAGCAGGAGAAGGGGAGGACTTGAGCAGGAATGAAACAGCCCGGACGAGGCCTGGCCACGTGAGCACAGAGCCTTGCTCAGATGCCCTGAGCCCAGTGAGGCAGAGCGGGGCGGCGGGCGATGGGAGTGGGGAGCACGCAGGAGGGGGCCAGGCCGGGGGCACCCGGCCGAGCTCAGCTCAGCTCAGGGGGCAGTGGGGACAGGCGCTGGGAGAACAGGAAGTCGCCTCCCTTCCAGGAGATGCAGCGGCCGCCCGTGGGACACAGGGCCATCTCTGCAGCCGGGCCAGCTTTGAGGCCCCTCTCGAGGGGGTACAAGCCCGTGCGCGTGGGCCCCTTGCCTCTCCAAGCCTCAGTTCCCTCACTGGCAAAGTAGAGAAGACTCTATACCTTCCTTCCTACCACAGACACTCAGGGCTGCACATTCCCGTCTTCTCAGCCTCCCAGGGTTGGGTGGAAAGAGCTCTGGAAAAGGGCTGGATGTGGTTCAGGTTTTTGCTCATGTCGTAAACACCCAAGTCAGTGACATCCCCACATCTGTAACCGCATCCGCACGTAGCTGAGGCATCTGAATCTGCAGGCCTGGGATGGAGTGACCTCGAGAGGGAGGGAAGGAAGACTCCAGCTGAGCCTGTCAGGTTTGACTGCCGGAAAGGCCGAAAGTAGGCGAAGTCAAGACAGCATCGTCAGCGCCAACGAGAATACAGCCGGCCTCGGGGAAGGCTCGGAAGAAGCGTGCCAACTCAGTCGCGCCTCCGGACAGGAAGCCCCGGAAAGCGGTCCTCCCGGGAGCTCCTCCTCCAGCCGCCGTGTCCACACGTACCTCCAGGTGATCCCGGGCACGTTGCTTCCACTCTGGGGTTCCAGGCGTCCAGCTCCTACAGGGCCCGAGGACACGTCCAGAGATGAGGTGCCCCTGTGATGAGATTACCCAGTGACAACCTAGCTGGTGCTGTGATTATTACCGGCCACGTCCGTGCCCAGCGGAGGGACCAGGTAATGATCGGATCGGGGTCGGGGTGAAGTGGGGCAGGTGGGGGGCGCAGCCACCTGGCTCAGAAGAACGCCATGTCTGAAGATGGGGGGAGCTTGGGCGGGGATGAGCCCCCCATTGGGACGTGTTGGTGTTGCCTGAGGGCTGCAGTGGAAGAGGCCCTCCTGGGGGTGAGCGGGGGACAAAGGGTTTGGAGATGAAGCGGCTCCCTTGGACCCTAAGGCAGGTCCCCAGAGGCCCCGCCTGGCCCCTGAGAACGCCATCTGCACTCCCCACGCACCAAGCTGGCTGCGCCCAGGGTCTTGGCAGGACCTCTTGAGAGTGGCTGAGGTCGTGACCCCTGCCCTGTCCAGATGGGCCTGGGCTGACCCCGTCTGCGACAAGCGAGGACAATGGCCCCTGTTGTTGGCCGGTTGCCCTGGGCCACATTCTCCAGGGACCTAGTGACCCTGAACAGGGGCCGTGAAGAGGTCCCCGCTGACTCGGCGAGATGTCCACTCACTAATGAAGGGCCGTTGGAAAGGGCATTGACCTTGGTCAGCAGGCAGGAGCCCTCCATCCGGGGGGCCACCGCAAGGAGAGAGAGAGAGGAAGGGTGACGACGTGTTACCTGCCCCCCCGGCCAGAGGGTTCGCCCAGCAACTCTGGAGACCATTGCCTGGGGCCGCAAATGTGACCATCAGCCCCGGAGACAAAGCCAGGACAGGGCCACAGGCTCAGGGTCAAAGGACTGTCCCCAGTGATGAGGAAAGTGGCAAATGACCACACAATCACAGTGATCACAGCCAGGACGAAGAGCAGCCCCAGTGCAAGGGGAAGGCAGAGTGGCCTTAACCTAACCTGGAAGTCAAGGAAGGCTGCCTGGAGGAGGTGACTTGGAGCCAGGTCTCCAAGGATGGATGGCACTGGACAGACATCAGACAAGGAGAAGGAGTTTCCAGATAGGAAGCTGCGTGGACAGTGATCTGGAGGCAAAGAAAGAGTCAACAGATAGTTTGTCATGATGGCAGCACCAGCTGCTGAGGGGTGGAGGGGACAGTGGGAAGGCCCCGAGGGCCGGAAAGAGACGGTCAGATGCGTCAGAAACAGCCGCTCTGGGTTGGAGCGGGGAACGGCAGAGGCCAGGAAGCCAGCGAGGCGTGATGGAGGGTTCTGGAGCGCGACGATGTGGGGTGACGCAGGAGCCAGGAAGGAGGCAAAGGTGTGGGCCTGGTGATGGTCCGGGTAGAGGCGGGTCCGGAGGACTTGGACTCCTGCAGGCAGTAGGGCAAAGCCAGACCGGCCTTGCAGAGCTGTGGGCGAGGCCGCTCCAGCCTGAGCGAGAACCCGGAGGCGGGGAGGCACACGGCGCAGGGACGTGAGAACAGCTGGCGTTTCCCGGCTGGGGGGCCCGTGCAGGGGAGGACCATGACGGGGGTCGAGGGCCCACCGGGGAGACAGGGACCCGAGCTCCAAGTGGGGCTGGAGGGGCCGCTCGGCAGGCCAGAGGGTGCGGGGTTTACAACGAGACTAAGCCACAGGTGAAAAATCTGTCACCTCTGCCCGCATCAGGCCCAGAGCCTAGTGCTCAAGCTTGGGCAAAGGCCAAACACCATCCCATGCTGCTCCACGCAATTGCACACTGTTCCTTTCAACTGCTATCAAGGTGGGCCCACAGACACAGGCAGAAGTTACACTTCTCCTCAGTTACCTGGAACGTAGGAGCTGTGTGACTTCAGACAGGTTGCTCTCCCTCTCTGAGCTCCAGCCCGTCTCCTGTGAAGTGTGTTACCTGATCTCTGCCCTGCTTGCCTCCCACAGCCGTCTGGAATCACACATAAAGGCACAGAAGTGCCTTGCGCTGCCCAGGGATGGTCTCTGTGAAAACACGTCCTCCTGCAGGGAGTTTAAATGCTCTTTCCAAGCACAGGTAAGACATCTACAAAACTTGACAACCTACAGGTCAAAAGACGAACCTCAACAAGTTTCAAAGGGTAAGTTTCATCTAGACTACGTTCTCTAAAGTGAAAACTGAAAGTGAAGTCACTCAGTCATGTCTGCCTCTCTGCAAAACCATGGGCTCCTCCGTCTGTGGGATTTTCCAGGCAAGAGTACTGGAGTGGGCTGCCCTTCCCTTCTCCAGGGGACCTTTCTGACCCAGGGATCGAACCCAGGTCTCCCGCATTGAGGGCAGACAGTTCAGCATCTAAGCCACCAGGGAAGAATGATGTTCTCTAACCATGATGCAATTAATTTCAAAATTAAAGATAAAGCTCATTTAAATGTACATACCTAGAAGTCTGTGCATAGGGTCACAGAAGACTTGGACACAACTTAGCGACTAAACAACAGGAACAGAAGGTGAGTCTGTGAACTTCAGACACGGTGCTGAGAATCTTACGTGTTAAAGAGGAAATGATAAATGATCTCATGATGAATAAACATGAAAGCATGACACAAAGTTTCCCGGGGTGGGACTTCCCTGGTGGTACACTAGATAAGAATCTGCCCGCTGATGTAGGGGGCACGGACTCAGCCCCTCATCCGGGAAGATTCCACGTGCTGTAAAGCAACTGAAGCTCATGCTCCGCAGCTCCTGGAGCCCACACGCCAAACCGCGGGACCCGGAGCACCCCAGAGCCGGAACCACGGCGACCGAGTCTGCGTGCTGCAGCTGCGGGAGGCTGGGTGCTTAGAGCCTGTACTCTGCAACAAGAGGAGCCGCTGTGATGAGACGCCCGTCCCTCCCAACGAAGAGTAGCCCCAGCTCACAGCAGCCAGAGAAAGCCTGCATGTGGCCAGGAAGACCCGGCAGAGCCAGAGAATAAACGAGAAACAAAAATCTTCCATTGTGTACCTAGATTGGTTTTTAGAGGTGTGTTTATAAGCTTCCCATTATTGCAAAACAAGAAAACCTAAAAATAAACGTTACATGTTAAAATAATTAACAGGAGAATGAAAACAACTGTAAAAAACTTTAAAGAAGTAAACCTGAGAAGAAATTGATTAAAAGAAAATGAAAAAAAAAACAGAAAATATCAACAAAAGTAAAATGTTATTCTCTGAGAAAATAAGATAGAAAAATCCCTAGCAAAACCAAACGTGAAGAATGTGCTACAGAGAAATAACATTGGAATGAAGAAGGGAACATAACAGATGTAGAACGGTTTTAGAAATCGTTGAAGAATACTGAAGTTGACTTGGTGCCAATACATTTTGTGTGTAAGTATAGTGGACAGTTTTCCTGGAAATAAATTTATTAGCAAAATTAATTCAAGGTGAAATAGAAGACATGGGCAAACCAACAACCAATTCAGAAGGCAAATTGATTAGCAAAAATATGCATCTCCAAAAAGCAAACAAAAGCTACCCAGTCTAAATAGTGTCCCAGCAAATTATCAAGCCTTCAAGGAACAGATAAGCCCCAGTGTGTGCGTTCTGCTTCATTGAATGAGAGGGCTGGCAAAGGGGAAACCGATTCATTTTCTGAGACTAGTACAACCTAATGCGCATAGCTAAGTGAAAACGCATGAAAAGAAGACGTGGGACTGCCCTGGTGGCCCAGGGGTTAAGAATCCACCTGCCAAAGGAGCGGACTCAGGCTCAAGCCTTAGCGTGGGAAGGTCCTACATGCTCAGGGCGACTAAGCCGTGAGCCACAACTACTGAAGCCCACGGCCTAGAGCCCCTGCTCCGCAAGGAAAGAAGCCACAGCAGTGAGGAGCCGGAGCGTCGCGGCTGGAGGGGAGCCCCGCTGGCTGTAACTAGGGAGAGCCTGTGCGCAGCAGCAGAGACCCAGCACAGCCGAAGGCAGACAAATAAAAGTGGAAAAAAACAAAAAGAGGATGTTATACCAGTTTCAACTACGAACATAGACGCAAAATAATCTTAAGAGGAAGATTTGCAAATCAAATCTAGCTGTGTAGAGAACTGCAGCTCCTTTTAGTCCATCCCACAAATGCCAGCAGAGTTCTCAATTCAAAAATGTAGTGATAAGCAATGGCGCATCAAGAGATGAAGGGAGGAGGCATGTGAAGTGAAAAATCAGTTTGGTCATTTTAATAGACGCCAAGCAAGCATTCAATAGAATTCATTCACCGATGGTTTAATTTTCAAAATAATTAACCATGAACAGAATGAAAATTCCTTATTTGGGTAAGTTTAAGCAAAGTGCAAGCTACACTGCCAAACCAAGGGACGCAAAAGGCATCAGGACAAGATCACCTTACTTGTGACGTGTAACGACGCAGGGAGAGCAGGGTACGGATCAGAAAGGCGGCCCTGCGGCCCGAGGGACGCAGGCTCCTCCAGCCTCCTGAGCGATTTTCCCACCTGGTCAAAGAGGGCTCACCAGCACCACTTCCACAGAGAGAGAAAATAACAGAATTTGCACACATCACTTCTTGTGCATGTGATCAAATCAAGACTGGAAAATAAACTTTCCATCTGATATCCACGTGCCCTGCTAAAACCCAAGGTAGTTCTACTACCAGAAAAAAAAATTAAGGGAGAAGGGGTAGCCAGAGGCAATTTCCAGGCTCTACCACAGTCAATAGAAATAATCTATCAAAAACATAGAGTATTTCCATGTATTCCCATTAAAGTCATGAACAAAGCAAGGATGTCCTCGTCATCACTGATGTTCAGCATTGTACTGATGGATCTAGATAATGCAATAGGACAAGAAAAAAATCAAAGAAGCAAGTGTTGGAATACACTATGATTGGTCACATAGAAAGCCCAAGATAATCTATAAACAAACTGGTACATGTAGCACAAATAACTCTGCAGGAATAACTAACATCAGCACATTTGCTGGATACAAACACTACAGATTTCCTAGATGCCATCAATGATCAATAACAAAATCATTAGAGAAAAGAACCCCAATCTTAAGCAAGTCAAGCTATAATCTTTAAAATTATGCATAGTATTTACTGGGGAAAGTTATGAAATATAATACATTCATGGATATAAAGACTCAGGTCATAATAATGTCAATACTCCCTAAACCAGCCTATTGAGTCAATGAACTTTGAATAAAAAATTCTAACAGATTTTTTTCCCCATGAGATTTGGAAAGCCAGTATATAAAGGTAATAGAAGGGGAAAAGATCAAAAAACTTTAAAATGTTTAGGAAATGAAAACGTATAAAGCATTACTTTAAAATTGTGACCATTAAGAAAGAGTGCTAATGGGTCTAGACAGAGAGAACAAACTGGAAATCTCAGAAATACAAAGAGATGGTCGGATGGCATCACCGACTCCATGAACATGAGTTTGAGCAAACTCAAGGAAGCCTGGTGTCTTGCAGTCCTTGGGGTTGCAGACACGTCTTAGTGACTGAACAACAGCCACAATGGGAACTGGACTTTTGACAAAGGAAGGAACACAGATCATCAAGAGAAGGATAGAGCATCCAATGCAGGTGCTGACTGGAACCATTTGGGGGCTTTCCATATGAAAAACTGAATCCCTACCTCACACTGCACACAAAAGTCAGCTTCCAGTGGATTAGAAACATAAAGGTGAAAGAACTATACAACTTCTAGGGGAAAAAAAAAGCAGAAGATAATATCTTTATGATCCCATGTGAAGTGAAAGTTGCTCAGTCGTGTCTGACTCTTTGCGACCCCATGGACTATACAGACCCTGGAATTCTCCAGGCCAGGATACTAAAGTGGGTAGCTTTTCCCTTCTCCAAGGGATCTTCCCAACCCAGGGATTGAACCCAGGTCTCCTGCATTGCAGGTGGATTCTTTACGAGCTGAGCCTCTGGGGAAGTCCTAATAGCAGGGAGGAATTTTTCAATCTGGCACAAACAACACAAACCATAAAAGGAAATATCAACCACTTGGACTCAAGTTTACGCTGTCTTTTGAGTCCTCTCTGGCACCTGGCAAGCCATCACTGCCGCCACATCCTATGGGCCCAAGCAGCCCCCACCTGCAGAGGGAGGAGCTACAAAGTCACACGGCAAAGCTGCAGAGAGATGCAGAGGAGGGCGGAGAGCTGGGGCCAGTTTTACCACTGCTCTCCCACACCCAGCCTTGGTGGTCACCTGAGCAAGGTGATGGAGAGGAGTGGCTCCGATGGTAAAGACTCTGCCTGCGGATGCGGGACACCTGGGTTCCATCCCTGGGTCAGGAAGATCCCCTGGAGAAGGGAATGGCAACCCACTCCAGTATTCTAGCCTGGGAAATTCCACGAACAGAGGAACCTGGCGGGTTATAGTTCATAGGGTCGCAAAGATTCGGACATGACTGAACAACTTCACTTCAGTTCTGGGAAAGAAGGACCCAGGGCTGCTCAGGTACAGCTCCTTGGTCCCGCTGTGACCCACCTGCCCTGCAGCTCACTGAGCCAGGAACCAGGGCGGGGGCAGAGTGCAGGCCCCCCCAACTTAAGTTCAAAGAGGTTCATCACAAGAACACTGAGTTTTTGATGCAATTATTTCAGATTCATTCCTGAACTCATTCCAAAGGGACTGAACACCAAACAAGAGGACGGCATGCTCAGTGAAACACGGTGATTCAGACAAAACCAGAAACGTTTAAAGGGGCTTCCCTGGAGGCTTGGGGCATCCCAGGCGGTGCAGTGGTGAAATCCACCTGCCAGTGTAGGAGACAGGAGACACGGGTTCGATCCCTGAGTCAGGAAAATCCCCTGGAGAAAGAAATGGCTGCTCGCTCCAGCATTCTCGCCTGCAAAATTCCATGGACAGAAGAGCCTGGCAGGCTACAGTTCACATGGCCACAGAGAGCTGGACATGACTGAGTCAGAATAACCCATCCATTCCTGGTGGCCCAGTGGTAAAGAATCCGCCTGCGAATGTAGGTGACACTCAGTCCCTGGGTGGGGAACTTCCCCTGAAGAAGGAAATGGCAACCTACTCCAATATTCTTGACTGGGAAATCCCACGGACAGAGGAGATTGGTGGGTTACAGTCAATGGGGTCACAAAGAGTTGGACACAACTTAGCGACTAAACAATAATAAGAAACCTTGAAAAGTGTGTGTAGGCTCCAGGAGGGCAGGTGTGATGTCCACGCGGCCCCCAGCCCTGGCACCTAACACCAGAGAAGAGAACAGAGCGGATACCCAGACCGGACACAGACCACCGAGGGCCCCAGTTTGGAAATCCGAGCTTGGAAGCCAAGGTCAAAAGGAGATTTCAAGGAGCCCCTTTCACGCCAGCCTGCAGAGCTGACTCACCCCAGAGCTTTGAGGACGGAGGTGCTCATTAATCACTCCCTTCAGCAGCCCTGCCGGGCATGGGGCACAGCTGGTCCAGGTGCGGGGCTGCCCCTCCCTTCGCAGAGCCCTCGCTACGCTGATGAGAGACCCTGGAGGGGCGCGGGGGGTACCGGGAACCCTGGGGTGCAGGGTCTGTGGCTGCAAACGTCCTAAGGGACTTTCTTCCAGAAGCAGCCGCGGGGGGATGCCCCGGGGTGGGGGTGGGGGCGGGTGTGAGCAGGGTGTATCCTCACTTCTGTAAGACTCTGCGAGGGTCTCGGAGGTCACTCGGGGACTCCGGAGAGAATCTGATGGTCCCTGTGACTCATTCCTGCAACTTCCACGCTGGGTCTGTCTGTTCGCCCAGACCAGGAAACACGGAAGTTGCCCTTGCTACACACCCACCTACCAGGCATCGAGTCCTCCAGAACCACGCGGCCCCTGCCTTGCCCGCTCTCTGTCCCAGGCCCATGTGGCTGCCTGCAGTGACTACCACCCCGGGCTCCTGGCATCCAGAGGACCTCCTCACTGCTCGCCCATGGCTCGTGCCTCCAGCGACCGGGATCGATTCCCCTCCCCGTACCGCCCAACACCCTGCGTGGTTCCCCTTTGCCTGCAACACAAAGTCCCCTTCCCAAACCAGGGACTCAAGGCCCGGGGAGACCCCTAGACTCTCCCCTGACCATGTCCCCTGTCCCAAGGGCCCCTAAAGGGCCATGCCAGCTTGGTATTCCTGTTCCCCTGTTCCCACTGCTCCCAGAACCTCATCCAGCTGGCGAGTCCCAATGGATCTTTAAGAATCTCTGAAGTGACAACACCTCCAGGAAGCCTTCCTGGAGGCGCCAAGTGGAGTTGATCTCCCACCTTCGTGTGGCAGCTGGCGGCAAGGAATTCCCCTCTGGCTGAGAGGGAACGACCTCCCCCGTGGCCTTGTGCTGACACCTGCTCATTTCCACGACCACGGTGCCCAGAACATGGGGATGGGTGAGACGTCTCCCCTAAAGGGGACTCGCTGAGAGCTGGTGAGGTGAGGGATGGCCCCCAGCCTGGCTCGATTCGGGCCTGGTGGCCTGAGAGAGGCCGGGTCCGGCAGCGGCTTCAGCCAGAGAAGGGCTCCCTTCCTGAACAGAGGATGCCAAGGATGCCGGCTGCTCTCCCCCAGGGCCCTGTGGCCTCCCGGAGCTGCTCCGAGTCCCGCCGGAGGGGGCAGTTCTGCCGGAGGTCACTGAGGCCTGGACACTCAGCTCCCAGGTTCTGGAGAAGGTGGGCAAGCTGGCGGGAAGCAGGTGTTCCTCTGTCAAAGCCCCCATCGGAGGCAAGGCCCTGAGCCCCGCACGACGGCCCACCTGTCATGGCCTGGGCTGGTCCCCGGTGGTCCCCCGGCCGGCGCGCTCTCCTCTGCCCAAAGGCCCCGCCTCCCCGTGACGCGCCACCTTCAGCAGCTGCCCCACCCCGCCTGCTCCTGTCTCTCCCTGTGGGCAGAGCCCAGGAGAGCAGACGCCCGGGGTTCGGACACTGCCAGCCCCTGGGGGGCACCACGGTCTGACGGGCAGGCAGGGAGGAGGGGGTCAGACCCCCGTTTCCTGCAAGAGCTGTGATGCTGGGGATGAGAGTCTGGAAGGTAGAGATAGGGCCCAGGAAGTGAAACTGGGCAAAGACGCCCTGGCCTGGATGCTGCCGTCAAGGAGAAAGATGGACCTCCTCCGGCTCAGTGCAGACCTCCGCCTGCCCCGGCCAGCACGGGGGTGGCCGTTTCTCCTCGAGTCACCCCGCTCCAGAAAGGCACCGTCTGTCCTACCGGTGCAGCCCTGCCCGGGGCTGGGACAGAAGCTGCTTGCTCCCAAAGACTCAGTTCCATCCTGTCTGCTGTTCGGCTTCAGGGTCTGTGAGATGGGGTTATTAACCCAGCACCACCCTTAAAGTGAGCCTGCCACCCACAGCACCGCCTGCCCGCCCTGACTTAATTCCTCCAGGGCCACCATGTGCGTCTAGACCGTTCCTCTGCTGAGCCGTGGGCGATGAGCTTGGTACAGTCTGCCCGGGGCACCCCCATTTCCCTTATGCGTCGGTCTCATCGGGGGCTCCATTAAGCCCAGCTTACAATTAAAGAAATATGATCAGAAAATTAGCTGGCGTGTGAGACCTGGGTCTTGGTACAGTGACAAGAGACAGTGTCTTCTGCACGCTGATTAGCCCACTCAGCCCGCCACGAGGTTAAGCGGAAGAACGCCCAGATTAATCCAGATTGACAATTATGACCATTTTTTTCTCCACCATCGAGCTTTCTCTCGTGGCTCCCTGCCAGGAAGGTATTGTGTTCCGAGACGAAAATACTTTTCATTTTTTCTACAATTTCCGTTTAAAAAGTTCCAAATGTTCAGCCATATGATGTGAAAACTGAACTTCAAGAAAATCCTACGGGGGTTTTGACGGTGGAGAAAGCATGGGGGTCTGCTCCCCTGACCCCCAGGCCGACAGAGGATACAGTTTCAGCCTTTCTTCTCCGCCCACCCCTGCTGCCCTAAGGAGACAGGCAAGCTGGATCCTCCTTGCAGAATATGGGAGCCTCGCGGGGAGGGGGTACTTGGGGGTGGTATCCACCAAGATGCTCAGGCTTGGGAAACTGGCCCCCAGCCTGTGGGTTTCCAGGGCAGAGCCCTCGAGTCTGGGAGCCGGGAGACCTGGGTTCCGAGCTCTTGCCTCTGCTCACCTCGATTTCCTTGGCCCAGTTCAGTTCAGTACATCACTGTGTTGGGCAGTCTTCCAGAAGCACAATTAACTCGCTTAATCCTCTCGAAATTGCATACGGCAGAGTTCTTATTTCCACTTTATGGATGGGTAAACTGAGGCCCAGAGGGCTTAACAACTTGTTCAGGGCCCACAACAAGCAAGAGAAGTCTGAATTCAACTCTAAGATGTGATTCTAGTGCATTGATTGTCCGGGTGCTTGCAGGTGTCAGGGGTTGCTCCAGACATCTCTGCAGCCCCAGCTGGGACCTACTGTCTGTCTCTATGGTTCAGTGCACCAGGCCCCTTCATCTGAATTCTGTGAAGAGGAGGAGAAGATGGGCAGTCACATATGACTCTTTGCAACCCTATGGACTGCAGCACACCAGGCTTCCCTGTCCTTCGCTATCGCCTGGAGTTTGCTCAAACGCTTGTCTATTGAATTGGTGTCAACCAACCATCTCATCCTCTGTCACCCGCTTCTCCTCCTGCCCTCAATCTCTCCCAGCATCAGGGTCTTTTCCAATGAGTTGACTCTTCACATCAAGTGGCCAAAGTACTGGAGCTTCAGCTTCAGCATCAGTCCTTCCAGTGAGTATTCAGAGTTGATTTCCTTTAGGATGGACTGGTTAGATCTCCTTGCAGTCCAAGGGACTCTCAAGAGTCTTCTCCAGCACCACAGTTCAAAAGCATCAGCCCTTCAGTGCTCAGCCTTCTTTATACGGGTCACAAAAATCGGACACGACTTAGTGACTGAACAGCGACAACAAAGGCGTGTGTTGCGCATTGTTAGCTTCTCTGAAGTGAGCTGGACAAGACAACATGTGTATTTTGCACCTTCTGCTATAAAGGTGCGGATGCAGTCGACATGAAATAGAGCTTGTGGGTCATGCAGGAACTAGAGCAAGACCCAGGAACCTCACCAGTTGTGAAGCCTTATCAATTATTTCCAGCTTAACCATGATCAATCGTGTCAATTAACGTCAGGTACTGAGTCTGACTCAGAGGAGTGCTCAGTGTCTGCTGAGTGAACAAGTGAGTGAAGGGCCCATTACTTCTTCACCCCTAGAAACCGCCAGGGTCCACAGGGGGTCACTGGGCCATTGCTCTCCTCGAGGTCCTCAGGGCCTGGCACCTCCACGCTTCACCCGGGTCTCCTGTGTTTCTGTTTGTGTGCATGTCTGTGTCCAAATAACCCTGGACAACGGCAAGAGGACAGGAAGTGACCACAGCACAGGGCCCACCGCCAAGCGCCCTGAAGATACCCAGCTGAGCCCACGGAGCAGAAGGAATGCCCCCCGGTCAGGCGTGGCCTTGGCTGCACCCCCCCAGGAAGTGGCCGGGCTGGCGCCCCTCGCCCCTAGGTGCTTCCTCCTGGAGGGGGAAGCCTGGGGGCATCACCACTGCACAGAGAAGGCAGGGGGCTCAGGGGAGTTCGAGGACGGACCCCAAGGATGGAAGCAGCACTTGCGCTCCCAGTGTGACCAGGGCGCGCAGACAGCCTGTGGCTGGGTTTTCTCGTGGCGTCTCCTCCCCAAGGCTCACCCTGTGGGATCTATGCCCACCGTGCCACCAGAGCCGTGAGCTGCCGCCTGTTTAGATGCTCACAGGACATCCCCCCCTACACCCGGACTCCCCACCCCAGCCGTGGCAGAATCCCCTCTGCTTTCATACCAGTCTGAGCCCCGGGGATTCCATCGGCGAGCGGTTCCTCTGCTCCCATCAAGGCTCGGGTCACCACTCAGCGGATCATTCAGGCTGAAGCCAGAATCTCCCCCTAAATGTCCCACTAATTCAGACCAGGCCTGAGCTGCTGAACTCTATCTGGGGAGCCTCAAGGAGTCACGGATGCAATGCATCAAATGAGGAGCACGTTTGCACTGCTTGGCCCCGAACAGACAAATGGAATTCTAGACTCTCTGGGGTGGAAAGATCTTAAAAGGCATGCTATCCAGCCATCCCCATCTATTCCACCACCATCCAGGGCTTGGCGTGCCCCACATGACCGAGAAAATTTAACACCAATGCCCAGCCTCTTACACACCTCCAGGGATGGGGAGCTCACTACATCACGGAGCACCACTGTCAGCACCTGAGACCTGTATCTCCACTTGCAATCCTCAGTATGGCACTCAGGGTGTGCGTATCCCCTCTTCCCAGACATGGAGCTGGCAGGCCCCGAAGTCCCCGAGGTGGGAGACCCCGTTCCTAAAGTGTCTTCACTCTGCACCCTGGGAGCAGGGTGAGGACTGAGCCCCAGGCACAACCCAATCACCCTCAACCTCCGAGCAACTTAGCTACCAAGAAGAACCTGTAACCAGCCTCTTGCTGGGGCAGCGTGCCTGACCCGAGCCTGACTCTGACCCAGCTACAGACCACGCACGCTGCAGGTACTCTCGGGAATGCCCCTGCCAGGAGCTGGCACTTTATCCACAGGGGCTGGGCTAAGCCCCACAGACAGATCTAGGAGCGGCTACCTTTCTTCCCACTGCACAGGAGAGGAAACCAAGCCTCAGAGAGGGACAGCAATTTGCCTGAGGCCACCCAGCCGGCGGTGACAGACCCCCTTCTGCCAGCGCTTAACCAGAGGGTGGGCTGAGTCTGTGTGGCCCGCTCAGCAGACCCCGAGTTCCCACTGTTGCAGCTGCCTCGGTGCCCTGGCTGCCAACTGCCAGCAGCTAGGTCCCTTTGCCTGGGGGCTCTCTCGCGGCCCGATTTTCTCTGCCTGTGTGTGGCCAGAAGCACCAGGGAATCCATCACGTCCCCACACCCCTCTGCCCCCTCCTGGGAACAGCCCTGACAGGAGTTGGCAGGAGTTGGTGGGTCCACGGGGACTCGCCCCGCCTGCCCGCGTGGAGGCCTATCTGACAGCGTGGGGCTTGCCGGGGTCCTCCCCACCCCTATGCTTCCCGGGACCCCATTCCAGTAAGCACTTGTCCATCAGTTTATATCTCAGCGTCCGCCTCTGAGAACCCAACCCAAGACACCAAAGGTCTGAGATTGAAGACTCTGAGATACCCCAAACTCCACATTAGTAGCGTGAACCTTGTGGGCTGTTTCTGCTTGCTTTTTGTGTGTGTGTACTCTGAAACTTCACAACGAAGCTTTGGGGTCTCACTTGACCTCTGGAAATGAACAGAAATATATTGAAAGGGAGTTTGGGGTGGAAGTGACCCGAAGGTGGTGGGTTGTCCCCACTTCTAGGAGAGTTCCTCAAGTTCACCTCCTAAGTCAGAATGGGGCTTCCCTGGGGGTCCAGTGTTAAGAATCCACCTGCCAATGCAGAGGACACCGGTTCGATCCCTGGTCCTGGAAGATCCCTCGAGCCACAGAGCAACTCGGCCCGGGAGCCATGACGAGAGAGTGGCCCCGGCTCACTGCAACCAGAGAAAAAGCCTGAGCGGCAACAAAGACCCGGGCGGCCAAAAATTAATAATTAACTACATCTTTCAAAAAGTAATAGTGGAAAGAAACCCTTGACGTCAGCGTCAATGATTTATCACGTAAACGTCAGAAGATGTGGAATGTGCCCTGGTTCTGGGCTCTTCCAACAGGGACGAGACAGACAAGGGCCGGCGGGGCAGGGCCCTGCTTGTAGACGCTCCAGGACCCAGCCTTGGAGAATGAATGGGGGCCCTGGGGGCCCCAAGTGGAGCCCACGTGCCACAGATGTGCTCACAGGGTCACATGGGTTCCCAGGGCCCACTCAGCTGGCACCAGCAGGGAACCTCGGCGGGCCACCTGACCTTCCGAAGTTGCAATTTCCGTGTAGGTTTGTCATGAGGGTAAGACAAACCTTGTAGCATCCTGCATCTAAATGGGAAGGAAGAAAGAAAAGAAAGAAAGTGAAGTCACTCAGTCGTGTCCAACTCTTCGTGACCACATGGACTGTAGCCCGCAGGCTCCTCTGTCCCTGGGATTTTCCAGGCAGGACACTGGAGTGGGTTGCCATTTCCTTCTCCAGGGGATCTTCCCAACCCAGGGATTGAACCCGGGTCTCCCGCATTGCGAGCAGACACTTCACCGTCTGAGCCACAGGGAAGCAAGTCCCAGAGGAGTGCAGGAGGGAGTGGACTAGATGAGGGTGGACTAGTCCACCCGAGGGGCTCCTGGGGCCCCACGGAGCTCCCTGTCTGCAGAGAAGGGCTGGAACCCATCAGACCAGCCCTCACGGACCTCATGCAGAGGATGGAGCTGAAGGCTTAGTTGGGAGCTCCTGGTCCCCGTGGTCATTCATCGGTTTCTCGGGCTGGCCGCCCTCCCCGGCTCCCCTCCCAAGCACCTACTACGCGCCAGGCACGGTGCCCGCCGCGCACAGCCACGTACCCTCAGCTGACACTTCCCTGAGAGCATCTGCCAGAAGGGATTAAGAAGTTGCCGGAGGAAGCCCTGGCTTTGTTTGGGAACTTTCCCCCAGCTGAGAGGGAGAGGCAGGGGGAGGAAAGAATGACCAATTATGCGCTGTGCTGTCTTCAGATGAAAGGCCCTTTTTGTGGCCTTCCCCGTCTCCTGTTTGGGCTGTCAGCAGCAATTTGACGAGGAATGTTACTTGGCCTGACCTGTTTTTTCAAGACGGTAACCTATATTGTGTATCATCTCAGCCCGGGAGATAACCAACCAGCACCCGCCCTCACACAGTCCCCGCCGGTTGAACTTCAACTTCTAAAACCAGGAAAATTGATTGGAAAAAAATTGCAGGGAAATCTCCCACTAATGATATTTTGAGTTTAGAAGGGAGGGGGCAGGCGGGGGAATTAAAGTGGCTTTAATCTGATGCTCCCAACATGGATTTCAGTACTGAATGGTCAATTGTTACTAAATTCTAATTGGTTCTGGGTCACTCCCTTTGAAATACTGGCTGCGTTCTGTTCATTTTTTCAATTAAATCTTAACAATTCACATCTGACAAAACTCAAAAATCTTGTCAAAAATTGTTCAGATTTGTGTAGTGAGAATGTGCAAGGGGCAAGATGGAGCTGGGACCAGGGGAAACTTTTATACCGAGGAACAATTTAAGGGCTAATTATGAGAATGCTGATTTTATTGTTTCCAGACTCCCATCCTTTTACGACATAAAATGAGTCTTTCTCATCAGCTTACTGAAAAAAAATACACTTTGGAGGAAACCGTAAAAGGCCACAAATACCATTGCCTAAGTGATGATTGTTGTCTGGATTTAGAAATTCAAGCGCTTTTCACATTTCATCTCTCCTTGTGAGAAAGTTTTATTTGATTACCTGAGGTAACACAGAAGTCGGTGAGATGCAGAAAAAAAAAACAAGGGCTTTGCAGCAAGCAGACTTGGGTTCAAAGCTGACTCAGCCCCGCTGAAAAGCTGGGTGAAAGTTTCCCGCAGAAGTCCTTGCCTCTCTGGGCCTGAGTTTTCCCATGCTTCCCAGGTGGCGGGTGGTAAAGAATACTCCTGCCCCAGGCAGGAGCTGCAGGAGATGCAAGCTCGATCCCTGGGTTGGGAAGATCCCCTGAAGGAGGAAATGGCAACCTAACCTACTCCAGTAGTCTTGCCTGGAAAGCCCCATGGACAAAGGAGCCTGGCCGGCTACAGTCCAAGGGGATTGCAAAGAGTTGGACACGAATGAGCACACACGTTTGACTGAATCGCTTTGCTATATACCTGAAACTAACACAGCGCTGTAAATCAACTATACTCCATTAAACTTTTTTTAAATAGCCCAGCCAGCTCTGAGAAGGCCCAGGCCCCCTCTGACCCCTGGGGTTGGGGGAGGCTTGAGCCCCATGCTGAAGGACTGGGCAGCCCCAGAGAGGATGGCAACTCTTTGCCTGGGGTGGTTTGGGGGGGTGGGAACTGGTGCAGGAAACAACACCCGCTCCAGCAGCTCTTAGCCAAGGGCTGGAAGGCTGGGCTCAGACCCCAGCTCCCCGGCCCCTCAGAGTGGCAGCTCCAAGATGGCAGGAGGGCTCCTTGCCCAGGGGGTAACTGGCTGCCCCCCACTCCTGCCTCAAATCCCTACTCCCGATGCTGTTGTGCCCTGCACCCCTAAATCAACCCTTTACATTCAGCTCTTTCTGGGGAACCCAGCTTTTGGCTGCCCTTGCCCTCCCAACTGGAGCGGGAGGTGAGGCAGTCAGGTAGGTGCAGGGCGCTTTCCGAGATGTAAGAACAGAGGGTGGTGGGAGGCTGTGGAGGGTGTCTGCCGGGCGGGTTTGGGTCTGGAGGTCTCTCTGGGTGCCACGTGGAGGACTGAGGTCAGGTGGGGGTCAGGGTGGAGAGGGGAAGGGGCAGGCAGAGAGATGACAGGGTGGCCGGGAGGAGGGGGAGGGCTGGAATTCGCAGGACCTGGGGACGGGGCGACAGAGGAGGGGGGCTGGAGGGTGCCAAGGCTGACTCTGCACGATTTACCCAGTTCTCATCATCTGGGCCACTTTCAAATTCAAACATCATTAGGGACCTGCAAGTTAAATCAACGATGAAATATGAACTACGCACCTAACAGAAGGGCTAAAATTCTGAACACTGGCAATACCAAATGCTGGCAAAGACATGGAGCAACAGGAGCTCTCATCGCTGGTGAGAACGCAACATGGTACATCCACTCGGGAAGAGCAGGGCGCGGGTTTCTTAGCAAACCAAATGTCCTCTTACCAGACGACCCAGCCCTGGCACTCGGTATTTACCCAAATGAATTGAAAATTTATATGCACATAAAAACCTGCTCACAGATGTTCACTGCAGCTTTATTCATAATCACCACAAATTGGAAGCAACCAAGATACTCTTTAGGAGGTGAATGGATAAATAAACTGAAATACCTCCAGACAATGTTCTATGTTTCAGTACTGAAAAGAGCTATGGAGCCAAGAAAAGACACAAGGGGACCTTAAAGGCATGTCACCAAATGAAAGAAACCAATCTCAAATGGCTACAGAGTGTATGATTCCAACTCTGCGACATTCTGGAAATGGGGGAAATTGTAGCGACTGTAAAGAGATCAGTGGTTGCCCCGTGGGTGGGAGTAGGCGTGAACACACCTGGTACAGAGGAACATCAGAGACGTGAACCAACTCTCTGTGGTCCTTGCGACGGTGGCTGCACGCCAGGGGTACATTTGTGCAGCCCCGAGTCAACCCTCAGGTACACTACGGCCTTTGGTTAACAATACTGTATCAGCACTGGCTCGTCAGTGGTAACAGTGTACCCCACCAGTGGGGGTGTGGGGTAGGCAGAGGAGGGGCAGGGTTTATCAACAGAGGAATCTGTGGAAAGCAGGAGGGAACTCCCGACTTCCTGCTCAACTGTTCTGTAAACCACGCAGCCATGTAGTGCGCTAGCTGCTCAGTCTTGTCTGACTCTTCCCGATCCCAAGGACACATAGCCCACCAGGCCCCTCTGTCCGTGGGATTCTCCAGGCAGAAACACGGGAGTGGGCTGCCACGCCCTCCCTCCAGGGCATCTTTCCAGCCCAGGGGTTGCACCCGGGTCTTCTGCATTGCAGGCAGATGTTTTACCATCTGAGTTACCAGGAAGCCCCTGTAAACTTAAAAGTTGCTCTAAAAGTAGAGTCTTATTTTTATTATTTTTTTAATTCCTTAGTTGGTTGCCCCAGAGCTGCTGCATGAGGAGGCCAGAGCTGGATGAAGCCCGCTCACGGCCCAGGACCCAGGAGCCCGCACTGTTCAGGGAGCCTGAAGAAATCCCACCCAGCTGGGGGGCCGGGGGGCGGGGGTGGGTGGCGCTGGGAAGGGAGGGGGCCCTGATGCCTGGAGCCCTGAGAAAGAGGAGAGGCCAGTGGCACAGGCCACTGGGCAAACGGATGGGGAGAGGACAGGGGAGGTGACGAGGCCCCAGAGACAGGCAGTAGCAGAACTGGAAGGCTTCCTGGAGGAGGGGTGTTTTGGTTGAAACTCGAGGGCCAGTGAGGAAGCTGCCTTCCCTCAGACCAGTCCCAAGTGCTGACCGTGGTCCCAGCCAAGGTCTAGCACATTTGTGCCTCCTCCCCATCCTCCCCCACTACAGGCCAGGCTTAGGACCCCCCACCCCCACTGAGGCTTCTCCCGGCTCCCTCCACCTCTGAAGCATGCACCTTCAGGGCTGCGATCCTGCAGTACAGACCTTTCTGGGGCTTCCCATCACCCTCAGGGGAAAGCCCAGCGCCCGGCCTGCCTTCCAGCCCCGCGCCCACCACACACACCTTCCCCGGGACACAGCCAGGTACGTGCCAGCTGGGGGAAGACACAGGAGCCTCTCCAGGCAGCTGGGAGCTGCCAGTCAGGGCCCACTGGCCACGGGCTTGAGCTGCCCCAGGCGGCATGTCCTGCTCTCGGACCTTCAGGGACACGAACCCCTCTCGTCCTGGCAGAGATGCAAGGTGGGCAGGTGAGCTCCCCGTCTCCCCATCCTATCGAGAAAGGGACCGGGGTCTTCACGGAGGTCCCGCCTGACCGAGTGCTTCCTGGGGAGGGGGGCTTAAGCCCACTTGTGCGAAAAGGGCTTTTGTCCCAGGGGAATGGACTTCCAGGGTTTTACTCAAGGACCTAGGCCTCTGGTCTGGTGACCCGCTTTCCCCCAGGTTGTGGCCACGTAGGCCCAGAGCCGTATTTTCTCAGTCCTGGGAGGTGGCTGGGGGCACCAGGGCGGGGGGCGGCGGGGGGTGCAGAGCCTGGTAGGGCTGGGCTGCCCTGGGAGTGGAGGCATCCCCGGAGCACTTGGCCTTGACCCTGGGAGGTGGAGGCCACCTCTGCAGCGGCTGCAGCACTCCGCTAATCCATTACTGAGCACCTCAGCTGGCCACCAGGCAATTAGCGCGGGGCCTCCATCCTGATGGCTAATTGCACTAATTGATGGGGTCGGCATGGCTCCCCCCACCACCCTCCCCCTCATCCAGAATGGCTTCATGCCTGGGAGCCAGGCCTCCAGCCTCCCTGTCTCAGGGTTCTCTGGAGCATCTCCTCCTGGATGCCACAGTCCGCAGAGCACTCGGCCAGCCCGCAGCTCTGGCCAGGACTTGACCCCGCGGCCCCTCCCCTCTCTTCACCCCCGACGCCTGTCCTCCGTCACGTCTCTGCGAGACGAGTCAGGGAACTTGCCAAGAGTAAATGCAGAGGCCAGGGGCCTGAGTCAAGTTTCCACGAGGCGCTGGGGCGCGTAGGTGGCCGTGACTCGCCCAGCCTCAGGACACCCGCAGGGCACTTGGGCGCGTCAGTAGGTGGGAGTTGTGGAGCTCCAGGCCTGGTCCCAAGTGAGGAGCTTGGCAGACTGTCTGGGAGCCTTGACAGTGATGATGGTGATGACAGTGGTGGAGCGCCAAAGAACTGATGCTTTTGCACTGTGGTGTTGGAGAAGACTCTTGAGAGTCCCTTGGACAACAAAGATATCCAACCAGTCCATCCCAAAGGGAATCAGTCCTGAATATTCATTGGAAGGACTGATGCTGAAGCTGCAGCTCCAATACTTTGGCCACCTGATGCAAAGAACTGACTTGTTTGAAAAGACCCTGATGCCGGGAAAGATGGAAGGCGCGAGGAGAAGGGGATGAGAGAAGATGAGATAGTTGGATGGCATCACTGACTCGATGGACATGAATCTGAGCAAACTCTGGGAGCTCGTGATGGACAGGGAGGCCTGGCGTGCTGCAGTCCATGGGTTGCAAAGAATCGGACATGACTGAGCGACTGAACTGAACTGAACTGATGGTGGTGATGATGGTGGTGATGGTGGTGATGGTGAGGTAATACAATCATGATGATGATGACAATGGTGATGGTGAGGATGATGAGAATGAGTTTGGTGGTGTGGATGATCTAGGGGTGATGGTGGTTGTGGTGAAGGAGGGGACGGGGATGATGCTGGTGACAGGAGGACAGTGATGGTGGCGAGGGTGAGGTGATGCGATGATGATGGTGATGGTGGTGAGGGTGAGAACATCACGGGTAAGATGATGCTGGGCATGGGGATGGGGCGATGAGGATGAAGTTAATAATGCTGAGAACAATAAAGATACTGAGGGTGATGATGATGTCTCCCTGTCCATGGTAAAGGTTACAGAGCAGAGTCTCTCCTGAGCAGTGATTAAAAACCTGAGCTCTGGATAAAACTTATTAAAACTCTGCCTCTGTCTTGCAGTGACCTCATGACTTTGAACCTCTTTCTTGATCTGTCTGTGCTTCTGTTCTCCCAACTATACCCGGAGGACAATGGCAGTCCTAACCTCACTGGTTGGTGTGAGGTTTAAGTGAGTCAATAAATACCCTACTACGGCACATGGCAGCTGCCACTATTTTTTATTATCTTAGATTTAAGAATCTCCTCACTAGCTGCATCAGAGTTGAAAGAATTTTGCTACAAAGAACAGAAAGTAAAAAGATAACACAAAGAATGAGAGAAAATATTTGCAGAACATTTATATGCCAAGAGACATGTATCTAGAATTTATAAAGAGCTTTTGCAACTCAAGAATAAAAATGACAGGTAAATCAAATTAAAAATGGACAAACAGTGCAAATAGACATTTCTCCAAAGAAGTCATACAAAACCAACAGATGCATGTGAAGAGGTTCCATGTCATTAGTCGTCAGGAAAATGCCAATCAAAACCACAGTGAGGCATCACTTCCCACCCACTAGGGCAACTGTTAATAGAATCAAAAAGACAAGTAATATCAAGTGTTGGTGAAGTTGTAGAGAAATTGGAACGCTCGTGTGTTGCTGAAAGTAAAATGACGCAGTCATTCTGGAAAAGTCGAGCAGTCCCTCAGACATGTTGGAGTTACCCTTGGATGCAGGAACCCACCTCTTAGGCCTGTACCCAGACCTGAAAGCGCACATCCACACAAAAGCTTATACACAAACGTTCACAGCAGCAACGCTCATAATAGCTAAAAAGTAGAAGGCACCCAAATGTGCATATATTGATTGCTGAACAAACAAAATGGTATATCCAGGCAATAGAATATTATTTGGCCATAAAAAGGAATGAAGTTCTGATTCCTGTTCTGATTCTATTCCAATATGAATGAATTTTGAAAACATTATGCTAAGTTACAGCAACCAGATAGAAATGGCCACATGCTGTATGGTTCATGTCTATGAAATGTACGGGATTAGCAAGGATGTAGAGACAGAATAAATGAGTGGCTTTGGGGGCTGGGGGCAAGGGGAGTGGAGGGCTGGGTTTCTTTTGTTGTTCAGTCACTCAGCTGTGTCCGACCCTCTTTGTGACCCCATGGACTGCAGCACGCCAGTCTTCCCTGTCCTTCACTATCACTCGGAGTTTCCTCAAATACATGTCTGTGGAGCCGGTGATGCCATCCAACCATCTCATCTTCTGTCATCCCCTTCTCCTCGCGCCTTCCATCTTTCCCGGCATCAGGGTCTTTTCCAATGAGTCAACTCAGAAGGCCAAACTTTGGAGCTTCAGCATCAGTCCTTCCAATTAATATTCAAGGTCGATTTCCTTTAGGATGGACTGACTGGATCTTCTGGCTGTCTAAAGGACTCTCGAGAGTCTTCCCCAGCACCACAGTTCAAAAGCATTAATTCTTCAGCACTCAGCCTTTTTAACCTGGGTCTCTTTTAGGGGTAATAAAAGTGTTCTGAAATTTGAGATGAAAGAAAGTGAAAGTCACTCAGTCGTGTCCAACTCTTTGTGACCCCATGGACTATACAGTTCATGGAATTCTCCAGGCCAGGATACTGGAGTGGGTAGCCTTTCCCTTCTCCAGGAGATCTTCCCAACCCAGGAATCAAACCAGGGTCTCCTGCATGGCAGGAGGATTCTTCACCAACTGAGCTACCTAAATCTAAATACATTAGCAATCACTACATTGTACACTTTAAAATGGGGTGATTTTATGATATATGAGTTATATCTCAATAAAGCTGTTATTTTAAAAGAGTTCCCCAATACATCCTGACAGATCAAGTGGAAGGAATTTTTTTTCCAAGTGGGAAATGAGGGCTCAGTGTGATTCTGTGCTGCGAAAGGGCTTCCTCAGCCTTGAGCCCTGCGACTGGGTGGCTCTGGGGCACGCTCTGCGCTGCCTGTGGTCCAGGCTGGACCCTCTCTGCAGCGTCTCCTTTCAGGGTTCTGATGCCAGCGACAGACGAACACAGCAGGTGGGAAGGGATATTGGAGAGGAATGTCCTTCTGTGGTGGAGACCCCAATCCCACGGAACCCCTCCCTCCTTTGGGCATCTTAAGGAACATACCCCTCACCAACAGCGAAACCCTGTTGAGCAGGAGAAAAGCATTCGGAAAGGTCTATCAGGGTTTTCTTCTCCCCAGTCCCCAACTCACCTTTCCATCTACCTGCTGGAGATTTCCCAGGCCCGGAACTGAACAGTCTTTCTCTCCCCCTCCCCTCCCCTGTCCCCGTCTCTCCCAGTGTCCTCTGCTCCCCGCAGAGGAATGGCTGAGCCTCCCCGTATGGTTGTGCGGGTCGTGCACTGCTCAAAAGTGCCTGGCCATGGGGGACGGGCCAAGGCTGAAGTCCAGCTCGCTCTCTGCTCACTCTCAGCAAGCCGAGCAGCCCAGCCAGCAAGCCTTCTTGTGATTCCCACGAGGCTGCCGTCCAGGCTGGCTGCCACTCTGGAGGGAGGGACAAGGAAGGAGGGAGGGGCTGTGAACCATCTTAACTGCTCAGAATCGAGTGTCTTAACTGCTCAGAATCGAGTGCTCGCATTTTGAAATGTGCCCCCTGGAGCGACTGGAAATGGACGGACATGTATTCATTGTACAGGCTATGTTACACAGCAATAACGAGCAGAATCTCAGGTAGGTTAGCACAACTAAGGCATATTTCCTGCTCACGCTGCACGGCCCATGTGGGGACGCTGCTTCATGTGGTCACCCAGGGATCCAGGCTGATGGAGGCTGTACCCGGGGATGAAGGCTGATGGAGGCTGTACCTGGGGATGAAGGCTGATGGAGGCTGTACCTGGGGATGAAGGCTGATGGAGGCTGTACCTGGGGATGAAGGCTGATGGAGGCTGTACCTGGGGACGAAGGCTGATGGAAGCTCTACCCGGGGGCCCAGGCTGATGGAGGCTCTACCCGGGGACGAAGGCTGATGGAGGCTGTACCCGGGGATGAAGGCTGATGGAAGCTCTACCCGGGGACGAAGGCTGATGGAGGCTCTACCCGGGGACGAAGGCTGATGGAGGCTGTAGCCGGGGATGAAGGCTGATGGAAGCTCTACCCGGGGACGAAGGCTGATGGAGGCTCTACCCGGGGGCCCAGGATGATGGAGGCTCTACCCAGGGGCCCATGCTGATGGAGGCTCTACCCGGGGACGAAGGCTGATGGAGGCTCTACCCGGGGACGAAGGCTGATGGAGGCTGTACCCGGGGACGAAGGCTGATGGAGGCTGTA